CCTCCCCCCTCCCCCCATTTCTCATAAACACACACATTGTTATTTTTGGCACACTTTCTTAACGATATGTGAATTTCAATTGTAAACATTATCATACCTCATCAAAGTCAATTGTAAATTGTAATTCAATTGTAAACAAATGTCAATAAGACAAATGATCTCAATGACTGACTTGACCACTGTCCATAACCACTGGCCACACCCAGTGGCGACACCCACTGGCCACACTCACTGGCCACACTTACTGACCACACCCACTTACCCTACATGCCTAAATAGCTATATCTACTGGCTGATTCTGCCTGCCAAGTCACACCCATATACCTCACCTAGTGACTAAATTTACCTGCCTAGTCACAACAAACCTACTACTTCAAGTGACTCAAATTACCTACAACCCCGCACCTCTCTGTCATTACCTTCTCAACACATTCCTACACCCCACTGACATTACCTTCTCAACACAACCCCACACCCCACTGTCCTTACCTTCTCAACACAACCCCACACCCAACTGTCCTTACCTTCTCAACACAACCCCACATCCCACTGTCATTACCTTCTCAACACAACCCCACACCCCACTGTCCTTACCTTCTCAACACAACCCCACACCCAACTGTCCTTACCTTCTCAACACAACCCCACACCTCACTGTCCTTACCTTCTCAACACAACCCCACACCCAACTGTCCTTACCTTCTCAACACAACCCCACACCCAACTGTCCTTACCTTCTCAACACAACCCCACACCTCACTGTCCTTACCTTCTCAACACAATCCTACACCCGACTGTCCTTACCTCCTCAACACAACCCCACACCCCACTGTCCTTACCTTCTCAACACAACCCCACACCCAACTGTCCTTACCTTCTCAACACAACCCCACACCTGACTGTCCTTACCTTCTCAACACAACCCCACACCTCACTGTCCTTACCTTCTCAACACAACCCCACACCCGACTGTCATTACCTTCTCAACACAACCCCACACCTCACTGTCATTACCTTCTCAACACAACCCCACACCTCACTGTCCTTGCCTTCTCAACACAACCCCACACCCGACTGTCCTTACCTTCTCAACACAACCCCACACCCCACTGTCCTTACCTTCTCAACACAACCCCACACCCAACTCTCCTTACCTTCTCAACACAACCCCACACCCGACTGTCATTACCTTCTCAACACAACCCCACACCTCACTGTCATTACCTTCTCAACACAACCCCACATCTCACTGTCATTACCTTCTCAACACAATCCCACACTTCACTGTCCTTACCTTCTCCACACAACCCCACACCCCACTGTCCTTACCTTCTCAACACAACCCCACACCCGACTGTCATTACCTTCTCAACACAACCCCACACCCCACTGTCCTTACCTTCTCAACACAACCCCACACCCCAGTGTCCTTACCTTCTCCACACAACCCCACACCTGACTGTCCTTACCTTCTCCACACAACCCCACACCTCACTGTCCTTACTTTCTCAACACAACCACACACCTCAATGTCCTTACCTTCACAACACAACCCCACACCCCACTGTCCTTACCTTCTCAACACAACCCCACACCCCACTGTCCTTACCTTCTCAACACAACCCCACATCTCACTATCCTTACTTTCTCAACACAACCACACACCTCAATGTCCTTATCTTCTCAATACAACCCCACACCCCACTGTCCTTACCTTCTCAACACAACCCCACACCTCACTGTCATAACCTTCTCAACACAACCCCACACCTCACTGTCCTTGCCTTCTCAACACAATCCTACACCCGACTGTCCTTACCTCCTCAACACAACCCCACACCCCACTGTCCTTACCTTCTCCACACAACCCCACACCTCACTGTCCTTGCCTTCTCAACACAACCCCACACCTCACTGTCATTACCTTCTCAACACAACCCCACATCCCACTATCCTTACCTTCTCCACACAACCCCACACCCAACTGTCCTTACGTTCTCAACACAACCCCACACCTCACTGTCCTTGCCTTCTCAACACAATCCTCCTGTTACCTCCTCAACACAACCCCACACCCCACTGTCCTTACCTTCTCAACACAACCCCACACCCAACTCTCCTTACCTTCTCAACACAACCCCACACCTCACTGTCATTACCTTCTCAACACAACCCCACATCTCACTGTCATTACCTTCTCAACACAACCCCACACCCCACTGTCCTTACCTTCTCAACACAACCCCACACCCAACTCTCCTTACCTTCTCAACACAACCCCACACCTCACTGTCATTACCTTCTCAACACAACCCCACATCTCACTGTCATTACCTTCTCAACACAATCCCACACTTCACACCTTCTCCACACAACCCCACACCCCACTGTCCTTACCTTCTCAACACAACCCCACATCTCACTGTCATTACCTTCTCAACACAACCCCACACCCCACTGTCCTTACCTTCTCAACACAACCCCACACCTCACTGTCATTACCTTCTCAACACAACCCCACATCTCACTGTCATTACCTTCTCAACACAACCCCACACCCCACTGTCCTTACCTTCTCAACACAACCCCACACCCAACTCTCCTTACCTTCTCAACACAACCCCACACCTCACTGTCATTACCTTCTCAACACAACCCCACATCTCACTGTCATTACCTTCTCAACACAATCCCACACTTCACTGTCCTTACCTTCTCCACACAACCCCACACCCCACTGTCCTCCCACACCTCACTGTCCTTACCTTCTCAAGACAACCACACACCTCACTGTCCTTACTTTCTCAACACAACCACACACCTCAATGTCCTTACCTTCTCAATACAACTCCACACCCCAGTGTCCTTACCTTCACAACACAACTCCACACCCCACTGTCCTTACCTTCTCAACACAACCCCACACCCCACTGTCCTTACCTTCTCAACACAACCCCACATCTCACTATCCTTACTTTCTCAACACAACCACACACCTCAATGTCCTTATCTTCTCAATACAACCCCACACCCCACTGTCCTTACCTTCTCAACACAACCCCACACCTCACTGTCATAACCTTCTCAACACAACCCCACACCCAACTGTCCTTACCTTCTCAACACAACCCCACACCCCACTGTCCTTACCTTCTCAACACAACCCCACACCCCACTGTCCTTACCTTCTCAACACAACCCCACACCCCACTGTCCTTACCTTCTCAACACAACCCCACACCTCACTGTCCTTACCTTCTCAAGACAACCACACACCTCACTGTCCTTACCTTCTCAATACAACCCCATACCCCACTGTCCTTACCTTCTCAATACAACTCCACACCCCACTGGCCTGTTCTGCCTCTGATAACCGACCTTCAGGCAAGTCAGAAACCCTATATAGACAAACTGTCAAGAAGTCTTAATGGACAGATGCAATATTCTCTCCATCTTGTGGTGTTCCTTAGCTGGTACATATCTGTCAGTTTCCGTGACTAAGAGGAGATAACTTCTTCTAGCAACACACAAATAGTCAAGTTGTCTTGCTTGTCCAGTTGTCAAGTTGATCATCTTCTGTAATGCATCCGCCGTAGGGGGAAGTAAGTGTTACAATAAAGTATATCATCAGCTTATAAAACACTTGCATGAATTCATATCATGTGTAAAAGCATTTATATACAGAGATAAACTAGTAGAACTTTACAGTTTTGTATTACTCCTTGTCAAACCTCAGAGGGTTCCGACATCAATAAATCTTTTTAAAAAAAGGGGAATTCATTACTTCTGAAAATAAACAGCCTTCACTACCAAAATGTTCATTTGTTTTTCATTAAATTTCTATACTTACACTGTATAACTGAAAGAATTTCTAATCACGATTACATTTGATCACAGACTTTACATCTAAACCTTAGACCGCGATTCTTGGACAAAGGCGACACTTTCGTAAGAGCTGTTTGAGATAAGCATAGTTCACCTTTCAATGGCATGTTCCAAATTTCTGTTGAACATTTCAGCTTTTGCCATAAAGTTATTGAGAGAGGATCTTGCATCTTTCCAATGATATTTGGAATTTTCTTAATTATTTAATAATTTAACGCGTCATGAGCATTAAGAAAAGTCACAAGTTGAATTATTTGATAAGTTTTATAAATTCCACAGTATATCACATAAACATGAATGTAAGATTCTATTTATCTTAGAATCTGTCGAATAAGCGAACACTGCAGTCTCAAATTATATTTCATTGCATAATAGCTAGCTTTTTGCTCGGAAAACTAATTACATATGATGTCATAATTGATGCGTTTCTTCTAAACTCTTGTTGATGTGATATTTTTTTTTATTTTACACGCTTAAAATAAAATTAAATCCTAAACTCTTCAACATTTGCCAACACTTTTTAGCAACATTCATGGTGGGTTATTTATTTTTCGCTAACGTTTATCATACATTGTCTGGTCTTTTAATACTGCCATTCGCCCCACGTACAGTAGAGTTACATTTCAAAGTTGGTTCAGATTGATTCTCGTAAACTCCGTTACAGCATTATGAAACAGAATAATTGTAATAAACCCTGTTGTAATTATGCCCAGCTTTAATCCTAAATTCGCTGAACTAACAAGAACTCGTATATGGCAGTGGTAGTGTGAGGAAACGCTGTACAATTACTTATTCTATACGTTATTTTTTATTATGGGCTTCGTATGTGATTAAGAGCTCTTCAATACATAGAGGAAACAATGCATTGATGTCGTACTCCTCCTTAATATAATTGCTTTCTTAAATCGTGTAAATAATAAGTACGGAAGAAACTGTGTGAATAGCATTATCCTGCTTCCGGGGCAATTGCGTTTTAGAATGGATTACCCAATTGTATAAACTGTATTCTACCTGTTTCATCAATGTTTACATTTTGCACTATGGTGTATAGGTCAAATGCCGAAAGGTTCCGAAAACTTAGGTGCTGCGCATGTCGTGTGTATAATGAGAGAATAATGGCGGAGAAAGTAGGGAAGACGACTGCCGTGGGGACTAAATCCATGCCCATGAAATTATTTGCTACATGGGAAGTGGAAAAAACATCCCCAAACTGTATACCAAGGTCTGTATAATTTATTTTTCTGGTAGTTGTGCATGCACCATTTTTCGATATCTCCGCTACAGCGAATGTCATCGGGTGCATGATGCTGATTCATATGAAAAACTTGCTTGATTAAAGAAATCTTTGGATTAGAAAACATCATTTTGGGAAATATCCGTCGTACATACTGATTAAAGCTGTTTTAGCTGACTTCATTTAAAATGTACATAATATTTATTAAGACTCCATCGATTGCAGACGTCTTGTGAACTGGTGTTTATAAATTTAGGATTCGTTTGACAGGTGTAATGCTTGATCGTAGTGATGAGTGCATCGTCTGTCAATCAGCTACTGCCCGAGGCGGCATGGTTACTTTCATTACGTAACAGAGAGACGGTGTCCTCAAAACATAAGAATTTCAGAAGTACATAATAACTAAAACGGTCGATTTGTAACGATGGTTGTACAATATCCAAATATTTCTGTTTTAAGTAATTACATGTAGTTTATCTCTGACACAGAGGAGTTTCATGAGAATTACCAGTAGCTTCTAATGAAATCACTTTCCCTTAAGTGTAAATCTTATATGATTCTTTTTCCTAAGGCACAATGTTATTTATATATTCACAATTACATGTGCATAACTTAATTGACTCCTGGAAATTAAATGTATGCATTGTGGTATATTCATGGAAGGATTCTCTATTAACCCCACACATGAGCATTTAAGATTTTTGTTAAACTACAGACATTCAGGTACTAAAGTTTGTGAATGCCAATTTTCATGGTAGTTGTGCAGGCCTTAGAGATACATAAAACCAACCTAGAAGCCATGACTGCTATGCTTATAAACAAAGTCTGATTGTCTGATAACAAAACAATAGTATTATGTTGCCTACTGGGCCATCAAAAAAATTAATGGTAAGATAACCAATGAGTATCATTTTTGGGTACCCCAAGTCCCCAACACTACATGCAATCTGACCATGACACTTTAATCTTACAGATGGTCCTAGAATAATCATGCCGCTGTCTGTCAGATGTTAATAATGTCGGGTGGATATAGTGTACCGGTCATTTTTACCCGACTTGGTTAAGTGACAGAAAGTATACTCTAATAGAACTAGAAAAGTCTTGTTTCATATATTATAGTCAATTGTTTATTCAATACACTTCTTAAAAGTAACTGTATGATGTCTGCTAAGATATATTTGACTGCAGTTCTTAAGCACCTTGAGGAAATTCAGGCTGATGGCTATAAGGTCATTGATAGCCAACAAGTGGTCATTTTGGATTTTTACACTGAAAATTTCTAATTTGTTATCGTTATTTCTTGTGGAGTATGGAATAAATCTTTCAAAAATTTCTTAAGTAGGTTCCCCTTTGTCCCTAGCTGTGGCTGTTTGATTTTAATACTGATTAGAAAACGAAGAATAGAAGACAGGCAGCCATCATTGATCTTTTTTAATAAAAGTTTGTTATCACCATTTCTTGAGAAGTATTGGATGGCTCTCTCTCAAATTTCATATGTATGTTCTACTTTGTCCCTATGATTTTAGAACTGATCAGAAAAATAAAATGGCTGACATGCAGCCATCTTAGATTTTTACAATGAGTTTATTATTGCTTTTTCTTGGAAGCACTGGATGGATCTTTCTCAAATATCATGTGTAGATTTCTTTTGGTCCAAAGTTGTGCCATTTTGATTTTTGCAATTAATTTGAAAAATAAAAATTGCTGAAAGATGACCATTTTGGATTTGGCACATAAAGATTATCTTAAATCTTAAATTAGTTTTTAAGATTTCATATAATCGAGTGAAAGTAGAGTAAAGGAGGGAAAAGATTACATTTTTCAAGCACAAATGAAGATCAAACTATCAGTGTTCCCATTCACGCACATATGTACGTAATTCACGTTTAAAATGTAAATTCCCACGTAAGAAAATACAGAGATATACGTAATATTCACGCACATTTATGAATCACTAATTCTTGCCCTCAACCCGTCAGACTTATGATAATCCTTCGGAACGTGTCGGGCCGCTTTATGCGGATTATGCCTAGAACCGAGATACCCGAATGCATAGATGTATACACAAAATGGCGCAGGTGACACTCAATAGCTTTTGGGAATCGTCTGCTGTTAGCAGAAACAAACGAAAAAGTAGAGATGATGATGAAATAGACAGCTCGTCTGAAACAAGAAAACATACTAAAACATCATCGGCACAATATCCAAAAACTTTTCAACAGAAATGGCTGTCAGAATTCGATTGGCTGAGAAAAGAAGATTCTGGTATGTTCTGTTCCCTATGTAAGGAAATGCCGCACTGTAAATTTTCGCCGTTTTGTAAAGGAACCAAAAATTTTCAGAGATCAGCGCTTGTGCGACATCAGCAGTCAAAAGATCATCTACTATCGATTCAGACAAAACGACAAAAGGTGTACATGAACGCTGCCAAAACATGCTTGAAAAAGAATTATCAGCCTATACTCGAGGCTCAACTGAAGACGGCACTGTGGCTGGCCAAGGAGGACATACTCATCCTCATATTCCATAAAGAACACATTAACTAATATGAACTGAAAAGAAACATGGAATTTGACCCTATATACCTATAACATCAATCATACCCCCACTTTTTAACTTCATACCTCCAGTTTTTGGAAGGTGGGGGTATGAATACCCCCAGTTTGAAAAGTGAGTGGGAACACTGACTATGGTGGGTGCCAAGATCCCTTTGGGATTTCTTGTTCTTCAATCCTATTTATGATCGTGCCAAATTCAAAGTACAGATAAAGATAACACCAAAATCCTAGATATCAAGAGATGAATGTGTCCTGGCATCACACAAAGAAGACATGGAAATCCTAATATTGCCAGCAGACAAAAGATGAGCAACTCTTATGATGCTTAAGTCCATATACCTAGAGGAGAGCAAAGAACTCCTGAGTGATAAGAGTTTGGTTAAGTGTCACAAGAGGGATCTTACTGATAGACATATCACTACACCAGTACAACTTCTGAGAGCCCTTAAACACCATTAATGGATTCTGACAGTCACCCAGTATAGGTGCATATATCCTACATCCACCAACATCCTAGGGTTACAGAAGTACTCCTGCCCCTCAGAACCATAGTGTCATCTTGAGATTCTATCACATATAACAAAGCTTAGTTCCTCTCTAAAGTTTTATTCCCTTTGATAGTACTGAACTGGGAAGAGACCCACTGTAACAGTACTAACTGTGCTGAGACCTGAGGATGTGACAGTCCTGTTTACCAGTGTCCCAGATGAGCTCGCATGTCATCTGACAGAGACTTGGGATGATCCTACACTCATCCAGCTAACAGTGTTATCCTTCCAACATATCACAGATCTTATGGATGTATGTCTTCATTGTGATTGGTAACTTTCACCACAAACTGGTGTGACTCTCCTTGATCTGTCTGATCATAGCCAACCTTGTCATGGAACACTCCAAAGAATTGAGCTTTTAGAGATATTTAAGGTGGATATATTGATAATAAACTGGCTTTCAATCTGATGAATGTGGTAGATAATTTCATGGATCATTAAAAGAACTGTCACCCAGCCATACAATTCTGTGTGAAAACGAATCCCTTGAATTCACTGTCTATTGGTAAACCCACCCAAAACAGACCTATGCCTTCAATACGACAGCCATCAACCTCTGAAACACAAACTGTATGTAATTCAGTACTTTAACCCACAGGGTCAACTTCATATGTTCCACAGATAAGGCCAAACATTCATGAGTACCACCTTAAGAAAGTCCTCAGTGTGTCTTGGCTATAGTAACTGGTCTTTGGATCTTGCTGGCAGCTGGACCAAAGCCACATAACCAGCAAGTGGCTGCCAACCAGCCAATGGACACACTACTCCTCCATACATATGAGGAATATCAGAGCTAATAAAGAGAAAAATCCACCAAGTGGCAGTGATGGTACTCACCAAGCCCCACAATACCATTCAGGGGATGTTGGTAGCACCTAAGGACAAAATAACAACAGACAAATCTGGTGAAAGATCTACCTCACTATTCTTACAGATTGTCCACCTTTGTATGTTGGAGAGACAGAAAGTCCACTCTGTAAATGGGTGTAAGAATACCACAGATATTCCTCTTGCGTTTGGCATCCTGGCCCACATAGAGATCACTCCCTCAATTTCCACTCTACAACATCAGAATGTTGTACTCACGCTTGTTTCAATGTGTTGTAAAGTGGTAATTTACATAATTGCTTTCAGACCTGACCTCAACAAGGATTAGAGGACATGACTACACACCATACCCATCCTCTATGCCAATCTTTGTTCATTTACATGACAATGGGATAATCTCCAGTCATGTCACAATATCATTAAGATAAAGCACAATTTTTTTTCAGAGCTGATAATCTTTACTTACTCTTCCATTAAGGAATAGCTTTGAATATATGAATAGGAGGGAAGATTATGAAAATCCACATTTTGTAATTTACACTGTATACAGTACTGCATGATCTTCTTTTCACAGGTCAATTAGGTTAATTTATCAAAATTTCAAGACATGTGATTTTCAGATTTTTGGTTGAGGTCAGAAAACCAGTTGTTTACTCAGGATAATGAGTAGATACACTGTAGATATTTGTGTGCAGTGTAGATAGATGTTGTGTAAACAAACCTTGTATATGTTTCCAATTGACTTGACCTCTGTGGGCCTTCATTTCATCATCAGTAGAATGGCACAGGCTCCAGTGTTTCTAAAGTCTGTCTTTACTCAACATGAACATAGCTCATCCTTTTGTTGTATCTGCACCAAGGGACATTGGCTTTCTTCTAATTTACAGAGAATGATAGTTAAGTTATTTGGTACAGTTATGGATATTTGACATTGTATGGTGTAATAAATTCTGGGTTGATGGATCAATGTAAGATCAGAACCCTTTCAATCCAGGTTATACTGGGGTAATTATGTACTCAATAAAGACAATACATGTATATACATACAGTGTTATTGACAGTCAGAAAAAGATGTTTATCATAGACAGACAGAATGATGATTAATATTATAAACAGAGGGAAGGAAGATGAATATCAACAGAGCAAAGGAAGATCTACTATAGACAGAGTAAAAGAAGGTAAATATGATAGACAGAGGGAAGGGAGGTAAATATTATAGACAGAGGGAAGGGAGATAGATATTATAGACAGAGGGAAGGGAGATAGATATTATAGACAGAGGGAAGAGAGATAGATTTTATTGACAGTGGGAGAGAAGATAGATATTATAGACAGAGGGAAGAGAGATAGATTTTATTGACAGTGGGAGAGAAGATAGATATTATAGACAGGGAGATAGATATTATAGACAGAGGTAAGGGAGAGGGAGGGAAGATAGATATTATAGACAGGGAGATAGATATTATAGACAGAGGGAAGGGAGATAGATATTATAGACAGAGGGAGGGAAGATAGATATTATAGACAGAGGGAAGGGAGATAGATATTATAGACAGAGGGAAGGGAGATAGATATTATAGACAGAGGGAGGGAAGATAGATATTATAGACAGAGGGAGTGGAGATAGATATTATAGACAGAGGGAAGATAGATATTATAGACAGGGAGATAGATATTATAGACAGAAGGAAGGGAGATATACTATAGACAGAGTGAAAGAAGATGCTGTAGCAAGAGTTCTGAACGTCAACTAAAGCACAACATTCTGTCTCTTAGACTGATTGGTACACTGCTGACCAACCTCAGACAGGCCAATTGAGAGTTATGCTGCCTCCTCAGGATTGTTTCATGAGGTTGTAGCACTTGTACAAGTACACAAAATATTGCAAATGAAGAAGTCAGGGGCACAGAATCGAAACATCAGCCGAGATACTGTGCTAAGGCCTCTCATCTCCCACATCATGAAGCCAAGTCACATTTAAGTGGGAATGCCCCTTAATGATCAGCAACATTGTATCAAAATCAAATGGGTCCCACAAAAGCATCTAAATGTATTTCCGGTGTAATGATGTGCCAGGAACTCTTCTTTGATGAGTCAAAACTTATCCTGTATTGCCAATATGTTTTTTAACATCTTGGTAAATGCTATGCCAATAACTTCATGGTTAAATGTGACAGGTTTGGTGGTGGTGGTAGTGTAATGTTGTGGGGCAAGATCTGTAGTGGCTGCGGAACCCACTTAGCTGTTATTGAAGGCACAGTTTGACAGCTAAATGATATATTGACACTGTTCTGTAACCTGTCGTGGTGCTTATTTATCCACCAACACAAGGTAATTTTCCAACAAGACAATGCTCAACTTTCTTGTGGCGTGACATACAATAGGATATTTCTGTCAAAACAATGTAAATAAGTTACCTTGGCCGCCATATAGTGCCAATCTCTCATCAAAATGCTTATATGGAACATGTTAGGTTGACACATTCAAATACATCCAGGTCTATTAGACTCCTCCTGCTCTGTGCCAGGTACTTCTTGGTGAGTGCAAGAACATCCCTGTGGTACAAATAGACTGTGCATAAAATTCTATGCATCACAGAAATCGAGCAACAGCAAATGCTAACAGGGGTCATACTCATGTTTGAAGTCGAAAAATTTTGATGTCAACCACCTCATTTGCCTTGGCCTTGTTAAAGTATTAATGGATTAATCTTAATTCACTGTGTTGTCCAATAGCTTAGATGTGCATCCTCGAATGGTTGTATAATTAATGATGATAGTGGGAATAAAGTAATGAAAATATTGGAGGTTGTGTTTCTTCTGTTTGTCAATAAATATAGCATCAAAATAGAAACTGTCTTTCTATTGGATTTATAAATGACACTGGTGCAAAGGCAAATATAACTTAAGCCCATTATCAGGTTTAGTCAAGAAGCTGTTTGTGTTATATAGTAATATATTTAAAGTAAGAGTTGCTGTATATTTGAATAGATTTTAAATTAAAATATCCCCCCCCCTGATAAAATCTTCCTTTATTTCGATAAACACATCATACACAGCATTTATGAGTGTCCTTCACACTTTTATTTAATATGATTTCATGAAATGCATTGTATGTGTACCATGTAACCTGTTGTCTTTTCAGATTGTGCTCCCTCACACTAAACCGTCTGATCGTGTTAAAGCCACTGGAAAATGAAAACCATTCATTAATTATCGCTGTCAAAATGCAGGTAAGACTTCTGATCATAACGATAAAAACTCTGAAGATTTATTGATAATAGCACAAATGGAATTTGCAATATTGCAAGACTTATATAATGTATGTACTACCAAAAAATAGTCTTGCAGTATATTTAATCTGTACAAAGAAAAAAAAAACCACTTTTTTATTGTGATAGTCCTGTGTTATCTTATTCCTAGATATAGTTAGAAAATGTTTTCAACAAGTAAAATTTACACAGGTGTTCTTGTAGAATTGTGTTGTATGATTCTTGATGTAGAGGCCTTTAGACACAGGTGCATGTTCACTGATACTGAGTGGAAAGCAGGGAAAAAAAACCTGTTGTGTGACTGAAGATATGTGTACTACTGAGCATAGCAGTAACAATTGCACAGCACAAGCTATAGTAGCAAAGCTGTAATAATGGATTTCAGCAATGTGTGTGTAATATGTCTTGAGGCTCTCTACAAATGTCATGGCAACATCAAGTAATATATAGAAAGTTCATGTATTCCATTTTTAGCTTACCTGCCCAGAGGACAAGTGAACTGATGTTGTAGAGTCAGTTTGTCCAGCTTAAACTTTTTTCTTTCATGAGTAACCAAAATGCTCCTGTCATGATTTAAGTTTATATTTAAATACACTGCATCCTGTTATGTTTGAAAATTTCTCTAGAGTTCCCAAGTTTATGCTAAGGAGTCTGGTGTCACACCAGGACAAAAATACATTCATCAGCTTCTCCAAGGGTCAAACTTGACCCTCTTATACCTGTAATGTTATGTCTAGGGAAGATGTGAACAACATCCTTCATGTTGTCTCTGGGGCCAAAGTTGACCCTCTTATACCTGTAATGTTAAGAAGATGTGAACAACATCCTTCATGTTGTCTCTGGGGCCAAAGTTGACCCTCTTATACCTGTAATGTTATGTCTAGGGAAGATGTGAACAACATCCTGTAATGTTATGTCTAGGGAAGATGTGAACAACATCCTTCATGTTGTCTCTGGGGCCAAAGTTGACCCTCTTATACCTGTAATGTTATGTCTAGGGAAGATGTGAACAACATCCTTCATGTTGTCTCTGGGGCCAAAGTTGACCCTCTTATACCTGTAATGTTACATGTGAACAACATCCTTCATGACCCTCTCATACCTGTAATGTTATGTCTAGGGAAGATGTGAACAACATCCTTCATGTTGTCTCTGGGGCCAAAGTTGACCCTCTTATACCTCTTCATACCTAGGGAAGATGTGAACAACATCCTTCATGTTGTCTCTGGGGCCAAAGTTGACCCTCTTATACCTGTAATGTTATGTCTAGGGAAGATGTGAACAACATCCTTCATGATGTCTCTGGGGCCAAAGTTGACCCTCTTATACCTGTAATGTTATGTCTAGGGAAGATGTGAACAACATCCTTCATGTTGTCTCTGGGGCCAAAGTTGACCCTCTCATACCTGTAATGTTATGTCTAGGGAAGATGTGAACAACATCCTTCATTTTGTCTCTGGGGCCAAAGTTGACCCTCTTATATCTGTAATGTTATGTCTAGGGAAGATGTGAACAACATCCTTCATGATGTCTCTTATGATGGCTTTAAATGTTAAAAAGCAGCAAAGTATAGGCTTTCAGAGCTTCTGAAAATGTAGGCATTTGGAAACTTCTGCAGTTTATGTACGGAACATAGAATGGTTTTAATTTGATCACATGAGCTGTGCTAGGTGGGTGGTATCAATTACTAATTGTTAACTTCTATAAAAAGGGTTTTATGGGGTTTTTTTTTACGCAAAAGCTTTTCACAAAAAGGGATTAATTTTTCATGGAAGCCATGAAATACATTCATGCTTTCATCATTTAACAATCGACCTCCATGTTTCTACTTTCCATGGTATGATATGATTTTTTATCTTAAAAAATAGCAAAAAATTGATTCCCTGGAAAAAATCTTAGTTTTTTCAGTATGCATGTCCTATAGAAATAAACAAGCAAATTTGTCTTTCAACAAACTGAAAAGGAAGTAAAAACAAGCAGAGTCTACTTCACCTCGTTAATATATATAAATAGGAAGTGATGATAAGTGGATTCTACTTAAAATGTGTTATTTGGACAAATGTGAAATGATATTGGTGAAATTTCTGTGTAGTTGTAAGATAACTACATATCACTTCTCTTGACACACAATATGATCTTTGGATTCCTATATCAAGGACTAACTATCAGTTAGGGACCTTCCTTCAGTGTTCCACATGACTGCTGTTAGAATTTCGGCTCATTAGGAAGTGTTTGATAGAGCTATTCTGCCCATACGTAACATTCTTATCCTGTTTTTGTCCTCGTGTTATGTACATTGTAGCACAGAGATGACAGGAAGAGCAACAGGATCAATACACCCCAGTCTCTGTCATGTCTTGTTTACAAATCTGTAGCTGGCTCCATGTTATTGTAGCACTGTCACCCACATCTACCACACAATTAAGTTGGGGAAATGTTTGGGAAAGTTTGAAAGGGTAAATGAGTCCAGACAGGCTATAGGTTAAACATAGAGAGACAAACTAAATCAATGTTGTCATGTTGCACAGAGGTTTGGGGAGATTTTCCCTAAGATGTGCATATATTAGGTTTAGTCTGAGGAGTGTCCTGCCAGTTTTATGTGAAAACATTCAGTGAGAGTAAACAATACATATGTGTAGGTACTGAATAAAACGAGATACACATGGTATGAGTAACACATTGAATTAGTCGTCAAGAGTAAAGTATACTTTTATATATAAAATAAGATGTGATGTCAGAGCTTTCAATTGAGTATATAGCTTGTATGGTGCAATATGTTAACTTACATATTCAGATATAAATACTTGCAGGGTGCTTGTATGTCAGTGACAGAGATAGATTTGGCCTTGTTTTACAGCTAAAAAGCTGTTTTCCCTAACTAAATCAGGGACAAATCAGACAAAACATCTTAACAGTTTCTAAATAAGCATAGAAAGCTTTAAATTCAGAATAAATTCAGGAATAAAGTTTGTTTCATGTTTTAACCTTTTTATAGCACTTCATAGTACCAGTGCAATACATATTATACTGTCATTAAAATCTTATGTGAATACATCTAGTTAGTTATATTAATTCCATGTACCAAAGTTTCTGCAACTTCGAAATCATAATAAGAGACCCTTTCGTTAACTGTTCTCATTATCACATGATGAATACATAATATGGCCCCATGGCATGTAAGGAAAATGACGGAGTCTTCATTCACATAAATTCCAAGCTGCTTTCCCCAGTCCATATCTGAAACGTAATTCACATATTGTATGAACCTTGTTATTAACCAATGGGAGACTGGATAAACATTCAGTCTAATCTCAAAGTAATCAATTACATATATAAAGAAAATATCATCATTAATAATTGTTTACCTTAATTCTGTGTCATAAAACGATGATTTTATTTTTCCTGTTTTTGTTTTTTCAGAACTCCAAGAGAACACTTCGCTCCAACGAAATAAGTATGCCATCATCAGGTCTTCTGGATGTGGAATTAGATTTAGCCTTTTCTCTACAGGTAAAGTCCAAAATGATATTGTGTTTGGATCTAAGCTGATCTCTTCAAATAAACTTCAGGTTGTAATGATAATTGTAATATAAAGAAGAACGTACATTGTAAACGCTTATACCATTTCAGACTTCAATAATGTATTTAAAGCCACTAAAATAACTTACTTTTAGGCTGTCCCAGTATCACCAATACTTTGAGACAATCTAGAGACTTATATAGTGTAGTCCCAGTATCACAAATACCTTGAGACAATCTAGAGACTTATATAGTGTAGTCCCAGTATCACCAATACTTTGAGACAATCTAGAGACTTATATGGTGTCGTCCCAGTATCACCAATACTTTGAGACAATCTAGAGACTTATATGGTGTCGTCCCAGTATCACCAATACTTTGAGACAATCTAGAGACTTATATGGTGTAGTGTGTCACTAAATGTATCACAAATACCTTGAGACAATCTAGAGACTTACATGGTGTAGTCCCAGTATCACCAATACTTTGTGACAATCTAGAGACTTACATGGTGTAGTCTCGGTGTGTCACTAAATGTGTATTGAGACAATCTAGAGACTTATATGGTGTCGTCCCAGTATCACCAATACTTTGAGACAATCTAGAGACTTATGGTGTAGTCCCAGTATCACCAATACTTTGAGGCAAACTAGAGACTTACATGGTGTAGTCTTGGTGTGTCACTGAATGTTTATTGAGGCTGTTAAAAGACTTGTATGGTGTAGTGCCTGTATCAACAAAACTTTGAGATAATCTAGAGACTTATATAGTGTAGTCCCAGTATCACCAATACTTTGTGACAATCTAGAGACTTATATGGTGTAGTCTTTGTGTGTCACTAAATGCTTAGTGAGGCTGTTTAGAGACTTATATGGTGTAGTCTTTGTGTGTCACTAAATGTTTATTGAGGCTGTTTAGAGACTTACATGGTGTAGTCTTGGTGTGTCACTAAATGTTTATTGAGGCTGTTTAGAGACTTACATGGTGTAGTCTTGGTGTGTCACTAAATGTTTATTGAGGCTGTTTAGAGACTTACATGGTGTAGTCTCGGTGTGTCACTAAATGTTTATTGAGGCTGTTTAGAGACTTATATGGTGTAGTCTTTGTGTGTCACTAAATGCTTAGTGAGGCTGTTTAGAGACTTACATGGTGTAGTCTCAGTGTGTCACTAAATGTTTAGTGAGGCTGTTTAGAGACTTATATGGTGTAGTCCTGGTCCCTGTATCACTTTGAGGCTCTCCTGATATATTTAGTCACCCAACAGTAACACTTGTTAAACTATTTATGTTGTTCCAGGAAAATATACTTGCACCTTAATAGCAGTGCTCCATGGTGATAAGGCTTGAAATTGAGTCATTGATCATGACTAAGACAGCTTAATCCTAGTCTTCAGGGTGTTTCACACAGAGTAGGATCTTTTGGTTGTTTGAAGTGAAATATGGCGAGGTATTGGCAAGAAAAGGATTGAGTTAATGTATTTTTACTTTAATTCATACGACTGTGTTATTTGGCATTCAGATTAATTACTGAGATTTGGCTGTGTAGAAAAGTGACATATATTTCCCATATGAAAACCATGAGACTGAAGATTTAATGAAGTCAATAGGATTTCACTATTTATTGTTTAGAGTTCTTCATTGTCATGTGTTTGTTGTGAGCACTCATGAGTTTTCATTTATTTCCAAGACCTAGATTTATTTAGCATCTGAAATGCTGATTTAGGATTTCTAACTTTTTTATGAGCTGCAATTACAACAACTTGACATAAGATGGTAGAAATTAGTGTATCACTATTCTGAAAGTTAGTATTAATGCTATAAACAAGTCCTTTGGTTGCAATCACTTGTGTACTAAAATATGTTTTATGCCAATAATTAGATTAATAAAGTCCAACAAACCAAACAATGATTACTGGTCAGGATCATAGTCATCAGATTAAGATGGCCACCACTATGTTTAGTTTTTCCATCAAACCACAGAGGGGATCTAGATCTTCCTGAAACTTTAGCACATGATAATTTATTGTTGAAGTAAATAAGATGGATGCCTTCATCCAGCTAAATTGTGATATTTGGTTATTATTATTTGTTATTAGGAACATTTGAATAAAACTCAGATTTGAGATCAAATTCAGCATGCCACCATTTGATCAAATTAAATCAAAATGTCAGTATTGCCAACAGCATTGTCATATATAACAATGTCAAACCAGCTGACAAGTGTGATCACTCATCCAACACTGCTTACCAAGCATAAAGTGTCATCATGATCATAACCCTGTCTGCAGTGTGATCACAACCCAAGTGTGATCATAACCCTGTCTGCAGTGTGATCACCAACCCTAGTGTGATCATAACCCTGTCTGCAGTGTGATCACAACCCAAGTGTGATCATAACCAAAGTGTGATCATAACCCAGTCTGCAGTGTGATCATAACCCAAGTGTGATCATAACCCTGTCTGCAGTGTGATCACCAAGCCTAGTGTGATCATAACCCTGTCTGCAGTGTGATCACCAACCCAAGTGTATTCATAACCCTGTCTGCAGTGTGATCACCAAGCCTAGTGTGATCATAACCCTGTCTGCAGTGTGATCACCAAGCCTAGTGTGATCATAACCCTGTCTGCAGTGTGATCACCAACCCAAGTGTATTCATAACCCTGTCTGCAGTGTGATCACCAAGCCTAGTGTGATCATAACCCAGTCTGCAGTGTGATCACCAACCCAAGTGTATTCATAACCCTGTCTGCAGTGTGATCACCAAGCCAAGTGTATTCATAACCCTGTATACAGTGTGATCATAACCCAAGTGTGATCATAACCCTGTATACAGTGTGATCATAACCCAAGTGTGATCATAACCCTGTCTGCAGTGTGATCATAACCCAAGTGTGATCATAACCCTGTCTGCAGTGTGATCATAACCCAAGTGTGATCATAACCCTGTCTGCAGTGTGATCATAACCCATAAAGTGTGATCAGTGTAACCCTGTCTGCAGTGTGATCATAACCCAAGTGTGATCATAACCCTGTCTGCAGTGTGATCATAACCCAAGTGTGATCATAACCCTGTCTGCAGTGTGATCATAACCCAAGTGTGATCATAACCCTGTCTGCAGTGTGATCATAACCCAAGTGTGATCATAACCCTGTCTGCAGTGTGATCATAACCCAAGTGTGATCATAACCCTGTCTGCAGTGTGATCATAACCCTGTCTGCAGTGTGATCATAACCCAAGTGTAATCATAACCCTGTCTGCAGTGTGATCATAACCCAAGTGTGATCATAACCCTGTCTGCAGTGTGATAACCCAGCCAAGTGTGATCATAACCCAGTCTGCAGTGTGATCACCAAGCCTAGTGTGATGATAACCCAGTCTACAGTGTGATCATAACCGAAGTGTGATGATAACCCAGTCTGCAGTGTGATCACCAAGCCTAGTGTGATCATAACCCAGTCTGCAGTGTGATCACCAAACCTAGTGTGATCATAACCCAGTCTGCAGTGTGATCACCAAGCCTAGTGTGATCATAACCCAGTCTGCAGTGTGATCACCAAACCTAGTGTGATCATAACCCAGTCTGCAGTGTGATCACCAAGCCTTGTGTGATCATAACCCTGTGAGAATAGTTATAACTGAGCCAACAATGTACAGGTACCCATTGTGGGAGTCTTACAATAGTTCAGATTCATATTCAACAAATGTTTGGCTACTTCTGATTCATGTTTGTCTACCTGCATCAGTGCAGCAACACAGTTTACTGATAAACACCAGCACAAGTGTGGGATCATCAGTATCGTTCCACACAATGATGCTTAACTCATTGTGGTTAAAAAGGTAGAAAATCCGGAATAAAGGAAACAGAGGAGTTATATTCCATATTTCTTTTATCTAAGGAAATCACAAGTTAGGGTTTTGCAATGAGGAAGAATATTGTGTCCGTATATCATGACTATTATAAGCTTCTCACCTTGTCTTGACAAATGATTTTATGCATCAGATGTGTCTATTACTGCCTAGTTATATGATGGCCTCACAAACAGAACTCTTTCAGTGGTCATTAGTCGAGTTATTGTACAGATATTGAGAGATAACAGGATGACTCTGTACCAGCTAACATCAGTAGTCAGTTGTATAGTCAATGTAGAAATGGGAATGGGGATGGGTTTGATCTTCTAACACTAATTATCAGTAACCTATATTTTCTAAAGACAGTATATATATGTTGGTAAGTGTTTCTCCTTAGTGCCAAGGTTATTTGGGGGTCAGCCTAAACACAAGACTAGGTACATTGTATGAGCAGGTAAGTAAGACATGGGTTCAGTTCCATCTTGAGACAAGTCACACACTGTGCTATTGCAGATGAGACAAAACTGATAAAAATCAATACATAGTGTGTATAGTCTAAGCTTCTATGCTGAAGCTTTTGTGCTCTGTAGCATATTTGAAATTCTTGTGTATCCTTGAAATTGACTTATGGGTTTTAATTTAACCCAATAGCTTTTTTTTTTTTTTTTTAAATGTGGCAAGCAAGACAAAAACCACACTGATCAAATAGAGAGCAAGTTTGTTGCAGTTTGGAAAAAAAATATATACACTGAAATGTAATGATCTGAAAACCTGTCACACTTGATATTTATAATTCATAAACTTTGATTACATATCAATGCAAAATCATAAGTTTCCAATCAACGCAAGATAGTGGAAACCTAATGATTTCAGCATTGTCAGATACTGATCAGGGTAGACAGTGATTAAAAAGAAGTAGAAGAAGTTGAGTGATGACAGCCAATGTTAAAAATGAAGTATAGAGTTAGCAGAATTATTTTTCATCAATATTAACTCTGTGGATTGAAAACTTTTCATAATTACTTAAAGTGAAAGAAAACAAGTTAAAGAGCCAGACCCACTCTGTTATAGATATTTTTTCATATTTTATTGACTGAAAATGTTGTTGTATATTAATAGATAATATATAAGTAAAGATTTGTATAAAGTTTCGAACTTGAAATTGAAAGGGTACCGCAGATATCGGTGCCCGAATTAGTCTCATTAATCAACACCAGGATAGGAATATTGATGAGGAAAAGTCACATGATATGTTCAGATGTGGTCAGAACCCCCAAAAAAATGGAGGAAGAGGTGAGTAGTACGTCCATGTGACATCGCTTGTAAGGAGATTTTACCGATAAATGCAATCAATACTCTATATATCCTGTATGGAAATCATCTAATGTATGTATTGATCACATCTTTCAATGCTTAGATATGACACGAAAACGTGCAGATTACGAGAAAAAATGATTAATTGCAAAGAGGCCTTCAAAACATGTTTTCTTCCCCACTTCCCTCACACTCTTTCTGCCATGTTGGAAGACGGCCGATTTATTTACAGTTCTTTGCTCATGCGTCAGAGGGCAGGACTTCCCGCATAATCATGAATTAGCAAATTCTTTTTTAAAACTATTTATTACGTTAGATTGGTGGTGATTTACTTTAAAATTGCGGTATTACAGGGTTAGTCAGAACTTTTGCTACCCAAGAAAAATAGAAAATCATGATTTTTTTTTTATATAAAATAATATCGGTCGAGAAGTGGGTCCGGCTCTTTAAGAATTTCATTTGTGATATATCTGGGAAAATTAGAAACTGGACAAGTAAATTTAGGTCATTTTAACTGCCTGATAGATGAGTAATTTTTAAAGTTTTTAAGATTTTGCCTTTCATTTAGCTGCAATATAAAAAGAAATTAGTATAAGAAAACAGTCTATGTCACTCAGCTGATAGAGAAATTAGTGTAAGATGAGTTTATGTCACTCAGCTGATAGAGAAATTAGTGTAAGATGAGTTTATGTCACTCAGCTGATAGAGAAATTAGTATAAGGTGAATCTATGTCACTTAGCTGATAGAGAAGTTAGTATAAGATGAGTTTATGTCACTCAGCTGATAGAGAAGTTAGTATAAGGTGAATCTATGTCACTCAGCTGATAGAGAAATTAGTGTAAGATGAGTGTATGTCACTCAGCTGATAGAGAAGTTAGTATAAGATGAGTTTATGTCACTCAGCTGATGGAGTTGTTAGTATAAGGTGAATCTATGTCACTCAGCTGATAGAGAAGTTAGTATAAGACGAGTTTATGTCACTCAGCTGATGGAGTAGTTAGTATAAGATGAGTTTATGTCACTCAGCTGATAGAGAAGTTAGTATAAGACGAGTTTATGTCACTCAGCTGATAGAGAAGTTAGTATAAGATGAGTCTATGTCACTCAGCTGATAGAGAAGTTAGTATAAGATGAGTTTATGTCACTCAGCTGATGGAGTTGTTAGTATAAGATGAGTCTATGTCACTCAGCTGATAGAGAAGTTAGTATAAGATGAGTTTATGTCACTCAGCTGATGGAGTTGTTAGTATAAGATGAGTGTATGTCACTCAGCTGATAGAGAAGTTAGTATAAGGTGAATCTATGTCACTTAGCTGATGGAGTTGTTAGTATAAGACGAGTTTATGTCACTCAGCTGATAGAGAAGTTAGTATAAGATGAGTCTATGTCACTCAGCTGATAGAGAAGTTAGTATAAGATGAGTTTATGTCACTCAGCTCATGAACCATCTTTCATTGACTCACTTGTTGAGCCAGTCTGCTGATGGCTTATGTATTTTTGGCTCAGTTGAATTCATTTCCAGTCAGAGCATTCTGTTTGAATGTGCTTATTTTTGCTTCATTCATTTTACAAATTGTAATCAAAGCTTGCCACCAGGGTTGTGATTCCTACCAATTGCATCAGGCTGGTGATCATGACATTTAATATGAGTAATGATCTTTCCGTCATGTATTGTGTTACTGATAGTGTAACACGACACGAATTGGATTCCGATTAGACTTTTCCATGACGTTTCCAAGCTGAAAATATCGTTGGATAAAATCTTAGTCATCATGCAGTCAAAGAATTACTATTGATTGTTTTCATATCGAATGATGAATAGTGATCAATACATTGATTTGTACAGCCTGAGTGTAATTGGTTAAAAAAAATGAGGTAATTATATCATGTTTCGTTTTCTTTTTTTTTTAAACAATTCCAGAAAAATGTCGAAATTGATAATGAAGGTAGCTAAAGATGTGTAAGTGCCTGTATTCATGGGAGAATACTTCCGTCTCTGGAAAATTGTGTTGATATAAAAACAACAAGAAAATACTGACATAAACAAAATGGCAAACCAAACTCAAAATGGATGTTATGAGAGCAAAATATTAACAAAAGAAAGATTGACATGGGGATGCTTGAGAAATATTCTTAAGAGACCACGTTTCAGCTGGTATACACTCTAATTTGGAGTACCTATCTACTTATTAACATTTTGATTTGAAATCTGGTATATTGTTGTATAATGGAAAATTGGAGGTTAGATTTTTACCTGGTTCTTGTCAATGAATATTTCCAGAGTTATGGCCCATGAACTTTAAAAATTTAAAGAAATTCTCTGTTTTTGCTCATTTTCAGTGTTGGATGGGAATGTTGAACTGAAATTTGATTAACACCATTTCAGCTACTGATTAATTTTGGTTGATGACTTTGGTCAGCCAATACCTACCAGGACAGTCTTAAAAGTCATGAATACACCTGTAACCAATAGCCGTAAATATCTTAAAAAAGGACACTGTGTCACACCACATATTGCAATTTTCTAAATAGCAGTGTTTTGATTACATGTGTTATAATGAGAAGAGAATTCTTATTAAGATCTAACTCATTGGTTTTCAGTATCCACATTTTCTGAAGCGAGATGGAAACAAACTCCATGTAATGTTACAGAGACGGAAAAAGTATAAAAATAAAACCATCCTAGGCTACAAGACATTGGCTGTGGGTCAGATTAATATGGGACAGGTAAGGAAACAAATTCAAGGTCATCAGTCTTTGATGTCTAAGGTCGTCATTGCTGTGTCTGTTGTTCATAATCAGTGTATCCCTCGTTCTTGTCCATATGTTACATCATATACTGAAAGACAAGCATGGTTTTTACCATTGACATTTAAAAGTAAAGAACAAAAAGCCAAAATCTGCCATTTTTGTTTTTGTTTTAGGTTGTAAACAATTGGCTGAACACATGTAAGCCTGTTTTTTTAATGTGATATGATTGGTTTACATGTTATTTTGTTTGTAGGTTCTACAGAGATCAATAGATAAGGATCTTAACCTATTCAGCGATACCAAAGACAACAGTACAGTGCTAGTGGCCAAATTGACAATGGTGACAGTGTCAAGTCAACCGGTGGACCATGTAGAGAGTGACCAGAGAAAAGCCATTTCATCTGATGTTGGTAAGGGGTCAGTCACCTTCAGTCGGACAATGAGGACATTTTTGTCACTGTTGATGTCTGTGTTCTCAATATTGATCTACTTTGTCACAGTTAATTTGTTGATGATGTCAGTGTTGTCACTATTGATGTCTGCGTTGCCACTATAAATGTCTGTGTTATACTGTTGATGTCGTATTCTTTTGATGTCTATGTTGTCATTGTTAATGTCTCTGTAGTCACTATTGATGTCTATGTTGTCATTGTTAATTTGTTGATGTCTATGTTGTCACTGCTGATGTCTGTGTTGTCACTAATGATGTCTTTGTTGTCACTGTTGATGTCTGAGTTCAAAGTTTTGATGTCAGTTTTGTCACTAATGATGTCTATGGCATCACTGTTGATGTCTGTATTGTAACGATTGATGTCAGTGTTATCACTTTTGATGTCTTTGTTGTTGCTATTGATGTCTGTGTTGTCACTGTTGATTTCAGTGTTGTCACTTTTGATGTGTGTGTTGTCACTATTAATGTCTGTGTTGTCACTATTGATGTCAGTGTTGTCACTATTGATGTCTGGTTGTCACTATTGATGTCAGTGTTGTCACTATTGATGTCTGAGTTGCCACTATTGATGTCTATGGCGTCACTGTTGATGTCTGTGTTGTTATGATTGATGTCAGTGTTATCACTATTGATATCAGTGTTGTCACTATTGATGTCTGAGTTGCCACTATTGATGCCTGTGTTGTCAATATTGATGTCTGAGTTGCCACTATTGATGTCAATCTTTTCACTGTTGATATCTTTGTTGTCACTGTTGATGTCTGAGTTCTCACTATTGATGTCTGAGTTCGCACTATTGATGTCTATGTTCTCACTATTGATGTCTGAGTTCTCAGTATTGATGTCTGAGTTCTCACTGTTGATGTCTGTGTTGTCACTATTGATGTCTGTGTTGTCACTATTGATGTCTGTGTTGTCACTATTGATGTCTGTGTTGTCACTATTGATGGCAATCTTTTCAATCTGTTGATGTCAGTGTTGTCACTTTTGATGTCAGTGTTGTCACTATTGATGTCTGTGTTGTCACTATTGATGCCTGTGTTGTCACTATTGATGTCTGAGTTGCCAATATTGATGTCAATCTTTTCACTGTTGATGTCTGTGTTGCCACTATTGATGCCTGTGTTGTCACTATTGATGTCTGTGTTGTCACTTTTGATGGCAATCTTTTCACTGTTGATGTTGGTGTTGTCACTTTTGATGTCAGTGTTGTCACTTTTGATGTCAGTGTTGTCACTAGTGATGTCTGAGTTGCCACTTTTGATGTCAATCTTTTCACTGTTGATGTCTGTGTTGTCACTTGATGTCTGTGTTGTCACTATTGATGTCTGTGTTGTCACTATTGATGTCTGTGTTGTCACTATAGATGTCTGTGTTGTCACTATAAATGTCTGTGTTGTCACTGTTGATGTCTCTGTTGATGTCTGTTCTTTTGATGCCACTGTTGTTCTTTTTGACAGATCGTTCTCCTGATGTTGATAACGACAGCGATGATGATTACCCAGACCATGAAGAGTGGTCAAATGATGGTTTCAGTGATTGTGATAACACACTGATGGAGGATGATGGACGTACTCGGCCTAGGAAAGTTAGTCGGGGTAATATACGACCTGTGCCTCGTGGACGAGTAAGTTTAGATCACATTTCAAATGTAAATCACATTTAGCAATCACAATGGAGGAGGATGGTTTGAAAGAGGTCACATGCTAGGAGGAATTAGGGATAGATTTATGGAGAAATTCAACATTTAAGGAAAAATCACTTACAATGATCTGTAAACACTTAAATACTTTGTAGCACCCTTAATCTTGGTATTTTGTCAAAGTGGCTTGATGAGGTTTGAGAAAAGCGTATTCAGAGTTTATATTCTGAGGATGTGAAGTCTGTATCCAGGAAACAGGATTGAAGGCAATTTGTATATTTTGTTGTGTTTGAAAGGATTCAGTATGATGTAGCTGAAAATGTGGAGGGGTTTAGGTACATGCTCTCAACATGTAACCATTTATTATGTTGGATTCCAGTTCATAGATTAACTTCTAACGTATGACTTCAATACAAAGATGGGTGGTCGGGTGGCGCAGTGGTAACGTATTCGCCTTTCACCTAGCTGACCGGGGTTTGATTCCTGGAACGGATGTGAAAATGTAAGGGGTCACCTACCCGACCACATGGGTTTTTCCCGGGTACTCTGGTTTCCTCCCACAATAAGACCCCTCGCGCTTACATCCAGGCCAACAAGAGTGATCAATATAAGTTGACATAACTTGTTTTGCAATATTGTTGTAAAATAAATAAAGTTTATATATAAAATACAAAGATAGGTTTAATTAAGCTAAAAACAATTGAAAAAAATGACAGATAGATTTCTTTGCTTTGTAATTAAACATATAACCAGTAGAGCATTACATCAAAGGACTGTAAGATTGATTTCTTGAGGTCACAAGTCTTGTATTGGAAGGAATAACCGGACTTTATAGATAGAAGGGATTCAAAGTACAGAGAAGATTATAGAGAACTTTTGGGTTTCTAAACGAATTCCACAGTAATTTTAGTCTGTAGCTTAGTATAGGGAAATATCATTTTAACTGGTAATGACCTTATTTGGGTATGGATTAATTAGTTCAACCTGGTTATTTATAATAGACAACTCTATACAGAGACCACAGTCAATCCTATTTGTGAACACGATATTTGTTATTTCAAAAACACAAGAATATGGTTAAATTCAAAATGTACATTTGGAAATAGCACAAAATATACTCAGCAAAATACTTTAGCATCTTTTTCTATTCAATGATGTTATTATATCAAATATATTTTTGTTTGTATTTTTATGATGTAGGATCAGTGTGCAGTAGTGTACTGTAAATCATAAAGTTTGATGAAATAGCACACCAGGATCATATACATGAACATTCTGTCATTTCTGGCATGTAGTACTTTATGCATGATTGCACATAACTTTGACACATGTAGGTAAATGCCCTTTGAAAGTTCACCTAAATGTCAAATGGGTCGATGCCAGGCTTGTCAGAAAACCTGTGTCAGTTGATAATAGGTATGTTTGATGCTGGTAGGTACATTAGAGATGTTGCTTTTCACTACCATGTTCATCCTTCAACAATATCCTGAATGAGACGACCAGATATGTTTCTGACTGTCCTTCCATCTGGACAACCTAGAAAAACAATGGCACAGAGGACTGTTTTCTTGTAACAAAGTCAAGACTTCAAAGTTCCCTTTCTGTGCCAAAAATTGCTGATAGACTTCACAGAGCTACAAGACTTAGTGTTTCTTGTCAAACTGTGTGGAATCATCTCTTCGCGGTGAGTTTACATGGTAGACATCCAGTAACCAGTGTTCCATTGACACAACACCATCGGTCAAGTTGTCTTAAGTTGGGCTGCAACACCAATGGAACAAAGTCATTTAACTGAGTTGCGCTTCAATGTCCAGTATGTTGTTGAAGGGAGGTGTGTATGCAGACGACGTCACGAGAGATATAACTATGGTGATATTATCCAGCACAATCAGTGTGGAGCTGGTAGTGTGGTGGTGCGGGGAGGGATCACATGGAGAGGAAAGACTGATCTGGTAACAGTCCAAGAACCACTAATTACATAGCATTACTGGACATCTTGGACACGGTATTAGACAGCGTCACCATGTTAATTTCATTGCAGAACTCTTACACTCTCTTCGTCAAGAAAGGGTTACCATTGTTAAAATCAGAAATCTGATCAGAACCATGAGGCAATGCTGTATAGCTGTAGTGGCAGGGGATAGCGGACATGCTCACTATTAACTTTTGGTGTAATTGCCATAGTGTTACTCCTGTCCTGTATGATTTAATCTCACAATTAAGTGCTAGAAGCTACCATAAAGAAAATGGCCGGATTTGGTTCTTGAGGCATCATATTCCTTTTTGAATAGGAAATGAATTGGCCTGTGGTTTTTACTGAAAGAAAATGTTACAGATTTCTGCACTTTTGTTGTTTGGTATATTAAGACCCCTATGTGAGTTTTTGCCAGCTATGTAAAACTCATACTATGCCCTATATATAATTGTCCCTTTGAGGAAATTGAAGTGGAAGTGTAACAAAGACATTGAATCGGTAAAAGATGTTTGGTAATAAGCTTTACCAACCTGTATGTGAGCTCAGTGACAAGCTCCACACATCTCTTGACTTAAAGGCTTGGCATAAAGACCCAAGAGTAGATTTGTTTGAGTTCCACAGGTACATGTAAATCAAGGCAAATGTTGGGATGTATGAAGTTTAGCCAGTTATGTTTATGTATTAAATAACGATATACATTTTTACATCTAAGCTGATGCTCATAACCTTTAATTTTTTGGTTTCAGCTACAGAGAAACATAAAACAGAGATTTATTGCATTGCTGAAGAAGTTCAAAGCATCAGAGGATGTAAGTAATACAGGAATTTCACTTTAAAAGAAACACATTATCTTCACTGACAATGTAATTCATCACATACTCCAACCTCCTTTACCCCATGTTGTTTGAATGTTCATACAGCAAAATAGTCCGTTTAATTCTAATCCCAAAGAAGGGTCTACAGTACTTGTCCGGTGTTGTTGTACACGATCATCGATCGTGTATACTGTCACCCGGATTGTAGGGGATTAAGTATGGCCTGTGTTTTAACCTGGATGTTTCAACCCCAACACTAGCGAGATCATAATCAAATGACATGTGTGAAAATCCACAGCTGGAGGTCACTGTGATGGACAGTTAAAATACAAATTTAGATCCACTTCTGTGTCCGTGTCCCCTATCATTCCCTGAAAAATAAAGTTGTCATTAGGGCTGGATCACACAGGCCACAGTTTCATAGAATAGATAGAATCTAGAGAGAAGGAAAGAGAGAGATAGAAAGAGAGAGAGAAAGAAAGAGAGAAACAGAGACAGAAATAAAGGTCTGGAACCTCATTACAGAATGCTGATAAAAAACTAACACAAATAATTGTTAGTTGTTCTATATAGACTATATGTGTCTCTGTGGTGACTGAAGGTATTATTTTATGTTAGTATGCTTCCTTAAAATTATTTGGGGGAACATCTATAGTTGCTGCTTTTTGTCCGTTCGTCCTTTCGTGTCTGGAGCATAACTTTGCACAGTTAATGGAGGATCATGAAATTTAATGTACTCATTGGTCATACTAAGTGGATGTACAGTGTACTGAATTCAGGACCTGCGATCCCCACAATTACAGTGTTAGTGCTCTTTGCTAAAATTCCATGGTCAGAGCATAACTTTTAGTTGCTTTCATTTAATGTAGTCTAAACATTCTGTGACATCACTCTCTCCAGAACCTGGTCATCCATTTCTTTTTATATAACACGCTATCTATGATAGTTACTTTACTTGTGGGGGTGTTCTAATCAGATGCGACAACAGTCAGATACTGCAAATTTACCGTATTCGATCCAATAAGCACCCAGAGCGCTTAAAAAATTGCAATTAAGTGGGGCGCTTATTAGAAACCATCTTAGATGTGAAAGAACACATTCAGTACTAAAAAAATCTGCCTCCACCAGCAACTTTCAGTCTCCTTTTTGAGGTGTTTTGTAAAGAGGTTTTCAATTCACTCTCTTTTTGTCTTCAATCATGAATTCACTACTCACTACTCACGAAGATGTTACCACCAGTTGTAAAAACAGCAAAAGGCCTGCATACCAAACTTTAGCCACGGAAAAATTGCAATTCATGTACCAAACTTTAGCCATGGCATGGGAGGTCCATGCTTTAGCTATGTACCAAACGTTAGTCATGGCAGGGGAAGTCCATGCTTTAGCCATGTACCAAACTTTAGCCATGGCAGGGGAAGTCCATGCTTTAGCCATGTACCAAACTTTAGCCATGGCAGGGGAAGTCCATGCTTTAGCCATGTACCAAACTTTAGCCATGGCATGGGAGGTCCACCAGTACCAAACGTTTTGGCAGGGGAAGTCCATGCCATGTACCAAACTTTCTGCTTCAGCCATGTTTTAGCCATGAGGGGTGTTTTGTACCAAAACTCATGCTTTAGCCATGTACCAAACTTTCATGCTTTAGCCATGTACCAAACTTTAGCCATGGCAAGGGGAGGTCCATGCTTTAGCCATGTACCAAACTTTAGCCACGGAAGGAGAAGACCTTGCTTCAGCCATGTACTAAACTTTAACCATGGCGGGGGGAGGTCCATGCTTCAGCCATGTACCAAACTTTAGCCATGGCAGGGGAGGTCCATGCTTCGGCCATGTACTAAACTTTAGCTATGGCAGGGGTAAGTCCATGCTTTAGCCATGTACCAAACTTTAGCCATGGCAGGGGAAGTCCATGCTTCAGCCATGTACCAAACTTTAGCCATGGTATGCTTTAGCCATGGGAAGTCCATGCTTTAGCCATGTACCAAACTTTAGCCATGGCAGGGGAAGTCCATGCTTTAGCCATGTACCAAACTTTAGCCATGGCAGGGGAAGTCCATGCTTTAGCCATGTACCAAACTTTAGCCATGGCAGGGGAAGTCCATGCTTTAGCCATGTACCAAACTTTAGCCATGGCAGGGGAAGTCCATGCTTTAGCCATGCTTTAGCCATGTAGCCATCAGCCATGTACCAAACTTTAGCCATGGCAGGGGAAGTCCATGCTTTAGCCATGTACCAAACTTTAGTGATGGCAGGGGAAGTCCATGTTTTAGCCATGTACCAAACTTTAGCCATGGCAGGGGAAGTCCATGCTTTAGCCATGTACCAAACTTTAGCCATGGCAGGGGAAGTCCATGCTTTAGCCATGTACCAAACTTTAGCCATGGCAGGGGAAGTCCATGCTTTAGCCATGTACCTAATTTTAGCCATGGCAGGGGAAAGTCCATACCAAACTTTAGCCATGGAAGTAGTCCATGCTTTAGCCATGTACCAAACTTTAGCCATGGCAGGGGAAGTCCATGCTTTAGCCATGTACCAAACTTTAGCCATGGCAAGGGGAGGTCCATGCTTTAGCCATGTACCAAACTTTAGCCATGGCAGGGGAAGTCCATGCTTTAGCCATGTACCAAACTTTAGCCATGGCAGGGGAAGTCCATGCTTTAGCCATGTACCAAACTTTAGCCATGTACCAAACTTTAGCCATGGCAGGGGAAGTCCATGCTTTAGCCATGTACCAAACTTTAGCCATGGCAAGGGGAGGTCCATGCTTTAGCTATGTACCAAACGTTAGTCATGGCAGGGGAAGTCCATGCTTTAGCCATGTACCAAACTTTAGCCATGGCAAGGGGAGGTCCATGCTTTAGCCATGTACCAAACTTTAGCCATGGCAGGGGAAGTCCATGCTTTAGCCATGTACCAAACTTTAGCCATGGCGGGGGAAGTCCATGCTTTAGCCATGTACCAAACTTTAGCCATGGCAGGGGAGGTCCATGCTTTAGCCATGTACCAAACTTTAGCCATGGCAGGGGAAGTCCATGTTTTAGCCATGTACCAAACTTTAGCCATGGCAGGGGAAGTCCATGCTTTAGCCATGTACCAAATTTTAGCCATGGCAGGGGAAGTCCATCCTTTAGCTGTCTCTGTGAAAATGTGTCTCTGATGCATGGAGCTTATTATGCAGTAGGTACTTGTAAATTACCAAGGATACTCTTAGTCCATGGTTAAAACATATTGATATACAGTATAATTTGTCACCTCAAGTCAGTCCTGACATTTGCTTACACATTCAAAACAAAATGAGGCAGTATTTAAGACAAAATATAATTCATTGATAAAATTTGTGAGCTGACTACATTCATTTGTAATGTTAAATGCAACTCATCATTGCATGACCAAATATGGCATCAATATAAATAGCACAAACCCAAAGGCAGTAATTAATAAAAGCATCTTTCCATCATTTTGCATAAACAGTGTACTTGTGTTTTTGCTATCAGAGCCAAAAGTATGGTCAACTGAAACATCATTAGGTCACAAACTACCGCACCAAGACCCACGGATAACACACATACACTGCAGTACTGTTGTAAGTTAGACATGATGTTTGTCTCTAATTCCCAGCCTCTGTCCACACTGAGTTGAACCTGTGTCAGTATACAGGTGAAAGCTTGGGTCTTGAGTGGGCGTGAGCTGGTGTTTCAACCATGTCTGCGAGTGGGAGGGATTGTGGTCTACACTGTGCAGGCGTTTGAGTACCACAACACTCGACACATTCTGTTGAAAGATATTGACATATTAAGTTGGTCATTAAGCTCAACTCATTAAAAAATGATATGCACAAGAGTGTAATCCTTAGCAATAGATTGTTGACATTTAAATTCTGACACTGATAGGTACATGTCTGTGTCATTGTTGTGATTATATAGTCAGCAGATTGTCACAAGTGATTGCTACAAAGTGCCATCAATGGTAAACCATACTTATTTTGTATGTCCCTAACATGTAGCATGGTGTTTTGATGTAGAGATATGTATATAAAAAATGAAATGTAACTGCATCCCCTAATGATGGTGCAATGTACAGGAATTAGGTCACTGTGGCTTTCACCTCAAAATCAGTGGTTAAATACCAGGATGAGTACTCGGTTAATTCTTATCCAGGCTGTCAAAGATACCTTACATTTGATGGGACTTAAAAACACAGCTACATCACTCAGAGATGGTGTGCTGTGAAATTAAGCCACCGTGTCCTTCACCTGCATATAAAAGATCAAAGTGCAAAATTTTCAATGCATTCATGTCTCAGCAATCATATTTGAACAGAATGCAGTTGGTTAATCACCCACAGATAGTATGCAGAGCCCTGAAACTGAATCACAGTGACCTTTACCCTCAGGTCAGAGGTTAATTAAGTACACAATTCCTAATACAATATTGCCTGTATCTTTGAACCAGGTAATAATCTTACACAAACTTAATGCATTAGCAACCAGCATTGGTCATTACATCATAATTATGTCAAAAAAAAAAGAATTTTACAAAACATTTATGTAAGTTGGACCTTGTATCAAACACAGACTAAGAATGTTAGTAGTCAGAAATTGCATTTCTTTCAATATTTATTGGAGCTTACTGAAGTGAGTTTTATTTGATATCATAACACAGCAGTCATGTCATTTTGTTTTGTTACAGGGCCTGGATTCTGAGGCAGACCATGAACTCTGTGATCCTGATGTAAACCCAGACCCTGCTGATGCTGATGACATTGAGGACTTGATTGATGAGTTAGAGGATCTAAGTGACAGTGGAGCAGAGCCAGAGTTAGATACTGTCAGTGTGGTGTCTACACCAAAACCCAGACTCAGGTACAAACCATTTACCTTAGTGGTAGAAAACCCAGACACAGGTACTACCTTACTGGTAGAAAACCCAGATTCAGGTACTACCTTACTGGTACAACACCCAGACACAGGTACTACCTTACTGGTACAACACCCAGACACAGGTACTACCTAACTGGTACAACACCCAGACTCAGGTACTACCTTACTGGTACAACACCCAGACTCGGGTACTACCTTACTCTTACAACACCCAGACAAGGGTACTAGCTTACTGGTACAACACCCAGACACAGGTACTACCTTACTGGTACAACATCCAGCCACAGGTACTACCTTAGGGGTACAACACCCAGACACAGGTACTACCTTACTGGTACAACACTCAGACACAGGTACTACCTTACTGGTACAACACCCAGACACAGGTACTACCTTACTGGTACAACACCCAGACTCATGTACTACCTTACTGGTACAACATACTACCTTACTGGTACAACACACAGACACAGGTACTACCTTACTGGTACAACATCCAGACACAGGTACTACCTTACTGGTACAACTACCCCAGACACAGGTACTACCTTACTGGTACAACACCCAGACTTGGGTACTACCTTACTGGTACAACACCCAGACACAGGTACTACCTTACTGGTACAACACCCAGACACAGGTACTACCTTACTGGTACAACATCCAGACACAGGTACTACCTTACTGGTACAACACCCAGACACAGGTACTACCTTACTGGTACAACACCCAGACACAGGTACTACCTTACTGGTACAACACCCAGACACAGGTACTACCTTACTGGTACAACACTCAGAAACAGGTACTACCTTACTGGTACAACACCCAGACACGGGTACTACCTTACTGGTACAACACTCAGACCTAGGTACTACCTAAGTGGTACAACACCCAGACTCATGTACTACCTTACTGGTACAACACTCAGACACAGGTACTACCTTACTGGTACAACACTCAGGCACAGGTACTACCTTACTGGTACAACACCCAGACTTGGGTACTACCTTACTGGTACAACACCCAGACACAGGTACTACCTTACTGGTACAACACCCAGACACAGGTACTACCTTACTGGTACAACATCCAGACACAGGTACTACCTTAATGGTACAACATCCAGACAAGGGTACTAGCTTACTGGTACAACATCCAGACACAGGTACTACCTTACTGGTACAACATCCAGACACGGGTACTACCTTACTGGTACAACATCCAGACACAGGTACTACCTTACTGGTACAACACCCAGACACAGGTACTACCTTACTGGTACAACATCCAGACACAGGTACTACCTTACGGGTACAACACCCAGACACAGGTACTACCTTACTGGTACAATACCCTGACCTAGGTACTACCTTACTCTTACAACACCCAGACACAGGTACTACCTTACTGGTACAACATCCAGACACAGGTACTACCTTACGGGTACAACACCCAGACACAGGTACTACCTTAATCCTTAATGGTACAACACCCAGACCTAGGTACTACCTTACTCTTACAACATCCAGACTCAGGTACTACCTTACTCTTACAACACACAGACACAGGTACTACCTTACTGGTACAACATCCAGACTCAGGTACTACCTTACTGGTACAACATCCAGACACAGGTACTACCTTACTGGTACAACACCCAGACTCTGGAACATATATCCCTTTTTGCTACAAAACCCTGACTTTGGTACATATTTACCTTAGTTTGGTATATCATATCTATGAACAATTTCAATTAATAGTATTTAACTTGAAACCAATAAATCAATATAAGATCTGTTGTGATAATTAAAACCCAGACTCTGGAATATATCCTTTACATTACTGATATAAAACCTGGGCCTTTTGGTGCTCATGGTGATCCATCTTGATCACTAACCAAAATCAGTGTTATCACTCTATCACTTAAATTGATGATGAATTTCTATCAAACTACCTTTTTTGGACAAAGACCAGTTATTAACAAAACCTGATATGAGTTGATGTTACAGGATTCCAAGGTCAAGGTCATCTTTACGCTTTAAAGGAATTTGTTAAAGATAGACATGCATAGTTGTATACATTGGAGCTGGGACATTTATATCTTGCCTACATTTTCATGTTGAATAATAAAACACCTGTATGGTCTTTCACATCATAATCCTACATATTCATATTAAAAATGTATTCTGAATTCTTCAAGGTTTTTTTGCCAGATATATGAAAAAATGATTTAGTTATAAATGATTTCTATTTTGTAGGCCATTCTTTACTCGCAATGGATTTGATGCTTCTGAATCAAGTAGAGTAAGTACAATGTTGATGGTCACTTTCGTAAAGCATGGTCAGATTAGTCACGAAATGCTTTAGTTCTCTTTTTAGTTTTTGTCTGTTATCTGACACACCTTACAATAGAACTCCTCCTATGTTTCTTGTCCAATATAAACTACCTTGTACTTAGTTGTCCATGTCGTTCCGGTCTAACTATTTAAGTTGTCATGCATGCCTTGTTGTTGGAGACGACATTCAGCAGTCACATAATCATTAAATCACTGGCTCCTACAACACATTTAAGATTCAGCAACATTAGATGCAGTAATTAGGGGGTCCAAAAATATCTTGTTACTGTACTTGTTACATTTACATATGTTAGCTCTCTCAAACCAAAAGTGGGGTTGTGTGGTTGGGGGTGGGGGGTGGGGGGAGGTGGGGGGATGTTATCGTTTATGTGGTGCACAAATGTCACGTTACTGTATGGTATCATGACAAGGCTATGCTTTACATAAAGGGGACATGTATTGCTGTCAAATAAACCAAGGAATATGTGCTACACTCAGATAGACCAAAGGATATGTATTACACACAGGTAAGCCAGATATATATGTATTGCACTCAGGTAGACCAAAGGATATGTATTACGCTCAGACAAAGGGATATGTATTGCAAACAGGTAGACCAGATATATGTATTACACACAGGTAGACCAGATATATGGTAGACCAGATATATGTATTACACTCAGGTAGACCAGAGATATGTATTACACTCATGTGACCAGATATATGTATTACACACAGGTAGACCAGATATATGTATTACACTCAGGTAGACCAGAGATATGTATTACACTCATGTGACCAGATATATGACCAGAGATATGTATTACACTCATGTGACCAGATATATGTATTACACTCAGGTAGACCAGAGATATGTATTACACACAGATATATGTATTACACTCAGGATATATGTATTACACTCAGGTAGACCAGAGATATGTATTACACTCATGTGACCAGATATATGTATTACACACAGGTAGACCAGATATATGTATTACACTCAGGTAGACCAGAGATATGTATTACACTCATGTGACCAGATATATGTATTACACTCAGGTAGACCAGAGATATGTATTACACTCATGTGACCAGATATATGTATTACACACAGGTAGACCAGATATATGTATTACACTCAGGTAGACCAGTAATATGTATTACACACAGGTAGGCCAGATATATGTATTACACACAGGTAGACCAGGAATATGTATTACACTCAGGTAGACCAGTGATATGTATTACACACAGGTAGACCAGGAATATGTATTACACTCAGGTAGACCAGATATATCTCTTACACTCAGATGGCCAGAGATATGTATTACACTCAGGAAGGACAGAAATATGTATTACACTCAGGTAGACCAGTGATATGTATTACACACAGGTAGGCCAGATATATCTCTTACACTCAGATGGCCAGAGATATGTATTACACTCAGGTAGACCAGTGATATGTATTACACTCATGTAGACAAGATACATGTATTACACTCAGGTACACCAGTTATATCTCTTACACTCAGGTAGGTCAGGCATATGTAAAACACTCAGGTAGACCAGAGATATGTATTACACTCAGGTAGGCCAGAGATATGTATTACACTCAGGTAGACCAGAGATATCTCTTACACTCAGATGGCCAGAGATGTGTATTACACTCAGGTAGTCCAGAGATATGTATTACACTCATGTGACCAGATATATGTATTACACACAGGTAGACCAGATATATGTATTACACTCAGGTAGACCAGTGATATATATTACACTCAGACAAAGGGATATGTATTACACTCAGATGAAAGGGGCATGTACTACACTCGGTTAGATCAGGGGTATGTATTACACTCAGATATATCATAAATAAATATGTGTTACATTCAGATGGATCAGGGATATGTATTACACTTAGATATATAGACACTGAAATATGGTGATTACACTCAGATTAGTAATACTTCAACATGATAAGTTTGTGTAGTGAATGAAGGCATTAGACGGTTGCTTTGATGTCCATGATAGGTTATTATAAATATCTAACCCAGTATAGAGTATATAACACTGTGTGTGCATGACTCTTGTGTTATTGTACAGGAAAGTGGTAAACTCAGTGACGACAACAGTTCTCGGAAAAATGACTCCGACAGTTTAGCTGTAAGTACAATTTTCTTTTGTTTATTTTCTGTTCTTAGAGGTTTTTGTGTCCACTGTTGTATTTCTGCGAAACTTTTGTTGGTCAAATATGATAAGCTTACTATGAATAGTTATTATCCTTGTATGTGCTAACTAATAAGGAATAATAGAGTGATATTTTGGTAGCCATGGTAACCAGTTATCATCAAGCAAAGAATGATGAAGATGATAAGACTTTTCCCTCATATTCATGCAGAGCAAATTTGAAATTTCATTAAAAGATCAAACATCAGTAGACACTTATATTAAATTTTGAGTTTGGTATTTTCTATGAAAAATCATTACCAAGGACACACCCATATTAACTGAAATCTCATTATATATGATAGTAAAAAACCTTTGTGATTTTAAATAATTCCTCCTAGAGAATTAATAAAATTACGCAGCTGTATGATCTTGTTTGGCCATCCAGCATGAGATTTGCACGGAACACTGTAGTATTTCGAGGGTATCTGGAAACTCTTGACCTCTTCTTTCAAGTGTTAACTAGCTTGATATTTGTTACTAAAGCTTTCTGATTCATCATATACAACTACGAGGTCTTCAGTCTTCCCTTAACTATCATTTACACACACAATGTCCCATTCTGTCACTCTTATATGCCTGTATATTACCTTTAGCCTACACTTACCTAGTAGCCTTCATAAACCCAACCCTGATTAAGTTGACTGCTGAAAAGCTATTTTACACCTACCCTCTAGCTAGTAGGCTAAAGAAAAGTACCGGTAATTTTACACCAAACCTCTAGCTAGTAGGCAACAGAAAAGCTATTTTACACCCATTTCCTAACCAGAAGGCTACAGAAAAGCAATTTTACACCTATTTCCTAGCCTGCAGGCTTAGAAAAGCTATTTTACACCCATTTCCTAACCAGAAGGCTACAGAAAAGCTATTTTACACCCATTTCCTAGCCTGCAGGCTTAGAAAAGCTATTTGACACCCATTTCCTAACTAGCAGGCTACAGAAAAGTTATTTTACACCCATTTCCAAGCCTGCGGGCTACAGAAAAGTTATTTTACATCAATTTCCTAACAGCAGGCTAGAGAAAAACTACCTTACACCCATTTCCATTGCAGGCTATGCAAATATTACCTACCTTTCACCCTACACTAGCTAGCAGACTGAAGAAATGCTACCTTACACCAATCCTCTAGGTAGCAGACTAAAGAAATGCTACCTTACACCAATCCCCTAGCTAGCACACTACAGAAATGCTACCTTACACCAATCCCCTAGCTAGCACACTACAGAAATGTTACCTTAAACCAATCTCCTAGTCAACAGCCGACAGAAATGTTTCCATAATTGTTCACCCAGTCTTCAAACAAATGGACTACAGACATGCTGAATAGTTTACACCTATCCTTTACTGAAGGTAGCAGGTTACAGAGATGCAGGCTTAAACCTTCCTCCTACCTGTCAATTTGTATATTACATTGTTATCCTAGATTCTTTTGATTACATTGAAAGGATAGTGACTGTATTCACATTTCAGTGTTTGACACAATTTTACTACTCAACATGAATTTACACCATCTTCTTTAACTTTCATAACCTCAAAAACAGTGTTTGATAGTAAAAAAACCTACATTTACACTAATTAATTGTTTCTGTGGAATCTTGACTAAGAGCATAAAAACAGAATTGGTTACTCTGACATTTTGCATGTTGTAGTTGAAAAAATGTTATCTAGGTATGTTTAAAGTGAAAGCAGATGATACTAGAATCCAAGTTTATTTTGTAGTTTTGTGTGATTTTGTTTTTGATGTAAGCTTGTACATTTAGGATGTTGTTGTTGGGATCAGATTTAAAATTCTGGTCTTAAGGATGTAGCGATTTAATTATTAAGATAATGGGTAAGTCTGGTTTATAGACTTCTAAATCTCGGGCCCATGTTGATTTAGGAATGTGTGCAGCCCTTGATTCAGGGAAGCCAAGAGAAAGCTGCGCCATGCGAGGTAATGTATGGTTGGCCACATACTGTCTTCTCTAGTTTTTACCTCAATTGTAGTTGATGCAGCATTTTCACTTCTCAAGCACAGAAAAAAAGTCTGCATGGTTTTTACAGGGTGAATTTGTGCTGTCATTTTAACTTTTTGTTAAAACAGTCCTGCACATATCTTGGCCTATTTTGTGTTTTATATGACCAAGGTGTAAATAGGAAAGGGCTGTTGTTTGAATTTTCCCAAATTTGAACCCTGTTTATTAACAACTGCATCATATCCTCTTTGTCAACATCATGTATGGTATTGAAATCTAAAAGGGAGCCAAAACAGAGTAACATCTACTGCTCAAACAAGCACTGAGCGTGTTGATACGTTTTGTGTAAGTTATCTACCCTTTGCTTGGTTTGTGGGGTTGTATGCTTAGTCTGCAGGTTTTTATCAGGGTTTGTTGGCCCATTTGTATGCCTTGTTTTATTGGTTTATTTAACATTTAGCCCATGAACACTAATTAATGTATCAGCTGATAAGCAATAATAATTCGTGGCGTATACCCTGATAAAACACTCGTCTGTTTGGGTATATATATAGGACCGCGATACTGACCCGGACCAGGTTGAATCGCACGGCAAGCCCAAATCTCCAAAACTGAAACCCAAGATGTCTCGCATGCGGAGCCGCTCATACCGAGAAAAACAAGCCAAGAAGGATGTGAAACAGCTTGTGCGACGCAATAGCACTGGAGTGGTTGAGGGTTCGGTCAGTACCTGTCTAACACGTGTGGTATTGGACTGACCAGGCTGATTTGCATATATCATTAGGCTCTACAAACCTTGCCAGCATACATTTACCCATTTTTTTTTCATGTGCCTCTCACTCAGCTAGCTTTTCACTGCACTGTTTACTTCTGTCTTTTCTCTTTATTATTATTTCTTTCATTCATATTTGGTGGGTTTTTTTTGTCTTGAAAAAGAATGTTTGAACTACATGTATTTTAGATTTAGATGTGATTTCAAGTTTCTGTGATGGAGCTTTGTCTATCATATATATATATGCACTTTGAAATGTCTGTGCAATGGGTGGGGAGCCACTGCCCCACATTTCACAGGGGTTCAGTATTTTATTCACTTAGCATGTTTTAGCTTGATCACTCCTGGTTTGGAATGCAAACTTCTGGAAGTTTCTTTTTACTAGTACATAAGTGGACAAATCAACTGAATGTGAAAAAAATTGATATGGAAAATAATGGGAATTTTTTAACAACACATTTTATTGAAATTAACCGTCAAAAGTAATGCTGTGGGATGCCCGTGTCCATTATTTTTACATCAATTTTATAATTTTAAACCTGGCATAATTGATGTGAAGGTCACAGGGATTTGATGAAGGGCAGGTGGTGGTGGTGGTGGTGGTGGTGGTGGTGGTCGGGGTGGGGGGAGGTGAGTAATCTAAAGACTTGAAAAAAATTGTTTATTCATATTCAAGATTGCAACAATTAAGTTTTTGAAACATCTTTTTGTGTAGTGTTAAGACTTGATTAGTAGTAGGCAATGGCCCGCTTTAATTTGCAAGTGTTTTTAAGTGAAATATCTTGACCTTTATTTCTGATCTATCTATGGTGATGATGTCTAATTTGTTCAATTAGTTAAAATTAAAAAGCTTCTTCTCAAGAACCAGTAGGTCTACAATCATATTTACCTGTTAGCACCATTTTGAAAACACTAAAATGTCTTGCTTTGAAGATAGAAATGACTCACATCATAGGTGTTGTATTGGTTGAAATGCCTAGCAACTTCTTCTGATGAACCAAAAATCCCAAGTCCAATTATTTTGCCATTTTTTTTTTAATTGAATTATGTATTACACTATGTACAGAAATTTCTTCACATTTAGTTGAACTGTCAGTGACTAATCCTATTTCCAGTATATTTCTTTCTTTATTATGCTATTATGTAGATGACCTTGACCCAACTCCAACCTGATTTAAGGTAGGACAGTTGTAGAGACGTTCAGCTGGTTTGAGATAGTTATTGTAATTTGATCTCTCCCTTTGTCCTATGAATCCAAGACAACTTTATCTTTAAACAGAAGACAGTGTCTGTGATTACTTATTATCCTTACTCATATAGTACTCATACTTACTTAATCTATGTGTATTTTACAAATCTTAGTAAAGACTACTAACATTTTTTCAGACACCTGCCTGCCTTTTGCCATGAGTTAAGGTCAGCATTAATGTTCCCATATGGTAAAAGTAACACAGAAGATATCTAATTATGTTTTCATCAACAAAGCAAAACAAATGTTGAAAGGATGATTCTTATAGATCAAATTTTTATGTTTAAATCCTATTTTAGAAAAAAAAATTCAGGAGTAAATTTGTTCTGTTTTATGTATAATGGTATGTAATATGGTATGAATTTTAATCAATATTTGCGATTTAGAGATGTGGATGCCCTGAAACAGTACTGGCCTCTAAGTGTTAGTCTATTTCATACCAGAAGATTATTACAGAAATAGGTTGTCTATAGATAAAAGTGACCTTGTGATGCAATAGTCCAGGTAAATGAGCAGTAGAGATTTTGAGTTTAAAGTTAAAGCATTTATTACTGATGTGACTATTAAGTTTGAAATTCTGATTTGATACAGGGCTGTTAATGTCTAAAGCTACTAATCAGGAGTTTCTCCCAATATAGGCCAGGTCACTTAAGTCCCATGTAATGATAGCCAGGGTACTATGTAACTTATACCATGAAATACTTTAGTGACGTCTATACTTTATTTACTCCTACGGCTTTCATTTCTATTGCCTGTTCCTGCTTTTGTTTTGTTTTTAAACCTACTAAAGGCTTTTTTTTTTGGTGACGATGCCAGTTTGCAGACTAACACCACAGTGAGTTTACGTGGTGATTGCTTCAATCACTCTTCATCCAACTGTCATACTTAAATTTCTAATCAAGAACATCCCGAAAAATGGTAACAATGCAACAAAATTTGCTGATAATAGGCAAGCAGAGTGATAGGATTTATCCTCTAACCAGTTCAGTGTGTGAATACAATGCCATTATTGCCACAATGAAGGAGGAGATATAAAACAAAGGTGTTATGGTGCCACTCACTTTCAGGTTCTTATGGAGAAATGTCACAAGAGGTTAACAGCTTTGATAATCCGACTTTCATGGTGTAGGATATGGGATTTGTCACTTCCATCATCATTTAGTTTCGTTTGTGCTGCTTTTCCTAATTGGGAGTGAGATGTCTATCACCATTTCAAAATTAGAGGATAATATGCTTGTTTTTATGCATATACTGGAGATTAATGAATTTTGCTTTTGTCAAGTGTTAAAATGACAAAATACATGATTTAATTGCCAGTATATGAGTAAAAACAAGCATGCTATCCCCATTTTGAAATAATTCGAGTCTAAAAGTGATGTTATTCTCACAATATCAACAAAATTCAAGAAAAACTAAGACCTGCAAAATTTTATGTGAAAAGGCCACTCACAATGTCCGAGCCAATCAAAATACTCCTTTCAAACATTGATGACATAAAAGCTCCGTCATAGGGATTGGGAATAATTGTCATTCTCTATATTATTTTCCTGTAAAGGTAAGAGACGATACCATGTGACATGATTTTACTTAGTTGTGATAAATCATAATTGAAGTTGATCCCTGAATTTAGAATATCACATACTTTAGAAATCATGATCTTTATCGACATTCTGAAAAACTCACTTTAAGCGAAAAGTCTAATGGAACATGTCACAAAGATTATCATAATCATACTCACGTCGTGACATGTTTTAACATATCGTTATAATATATTTCTACAATGTTAATGCTGATCGTCTGCCTCAGCAGGAAAGCTGGTCACTATCTTTTAGGCTAGCGTCAGAATTCATGAGTCTACCAGGATCATGAAAATTGTCCAATAAAATAACCACTATTTTAGAATTTTTTTTTTTTGTTTTAAAGTACTTATTTCTATCCCACAATCATCAGCTTATCAAATCACCCTTTATCAACTGTCTTTTTTTGTATCATACTTCCATTGTCCGTCCATCTTCAAACAATTCTTGTTATCACTATTTCTGAATGGATCATTCTCTGATTTTATGATGTAGGTTGACCTTAGTCCTTTGTTGTGCCTTCTGTATTTTAGAACTGATTGAAAAAAAAAAAAAAAGATGGCCAACAGGCAGTCATCTTGGTGTTTGACAGTCATATTTTTTGTCCAGTTTCTGGAGAAGTGTTGGATGGATCATTCTCAAATTTCATATGTAGGTTTGCTGCAGTTAGAAATTATAGAAATTATGCGTATTCCATTATGGGACTGATCAAAAAACAAAATGGCTGACCGGTGGCCATCTGGGATTTTTGACAATGAAAGATTGTTATTGCTTCTTCTGGAAAAGTCCTAGATGGGTCTTTCCAAAATTGGCTTTATCCCTAGTTGTGCCCTTTTAACTTTTTTGACTGAAAAAACAAAATGGCTGACAATTGACCATTTTGGATTTTGCTATGAAAGTTTGGTATTGGGATTTTCTTGAGAAGTATTGGATGCAGGTTTCTTAAATTTTCAAATTTCAAATAATTAAGAGTAAAAACAAAGGGAGGAGGAGAAAAGAGCTTTTCTTCAATGATAAAATATAGAAGAAGAAGATATTATTTCAAAGTGATTTAAATCTAGTTTTATTGTAACATGGTGAAAAGGCACTAGTGACTAGGAAACCTATTGTAGGAACTATAATTACCTCCCTTTATGCCTGGTGTCCACTGTAATGCATGAAGTGATGACCTGTCACTGGGAAACATTTTGTTCCATATCTATTTTCATCAAGGCGCTATGAGGTGTGAAATTTTTCAAAGAGAAAGAGGCTGTTTGACAGTTGAGGACTGTCGACTTTTGAGCTTGTGTTTCATTTTTCGTACAAAAGAGAATGCTTTGTGATAGCCTGTTGAGCATTATTCTGTTTTGGAAAGGTATGTTCTGAAATTCAAATGCACATGCATGGAGACTTGGATTTACAACATGGTGAGTCCTGCCAGGAAAAAGTAAACGTAAAATAAGTGGGGGGGGGCAGTCATGTGGGAATATATTTTGTAAAGAATTAACTTTCTCTAGACCTGGGATCCATGGTAACACTTCCTGTGTTGACCATTTACTAGGGAACCTGTTGTGTGAACTATTGCCTCCCATTATATCTGGGTTTCTGGTATCTATAATATTTGAAGCATTATTGCATGTATATATGAATGACATGGCTGATGTATTTGGAGCTTTAATATATATATAATTATATATGTATATATGCATGTGTTGTGTTTGATGGTTGCAGTGTGTATATATATTAGCTTATTAACCTGGGGCACCTTATATAATGTTTCAGAGGTATTTCTATGTTTTTTCTTTCTAGAATATTACCAAGCTCATGAAATTTATTTCTAGGTCATAATCCATGTAGTCACCATGTTGAATCGGTTTCCTACTTCTCATTATATTTTTTTGGTCATCTTTTAAAGAGACTTAACAAAAAGGTAACAGTCAGATCTTATCAATTCTTGTATTAAAAATTCTTTTTTTTTTCATCAGACAAAGAAATGCCATATTCAGATCTGCTGTTTGTAGATGATAAAGCCACTTGTGACAAAGTCTCATAGTGACCTATTGCAATAAATACCCTTTTGCATCATCGTCCATCGCCTGTCCATAAACTTTTTACATTTTTGAATTCTGGAAAATCCTGTAACTGATTTTAATGAAACTTGGCAGAAACCTTCCATCGCCAAAGATGAGCAAAATTTGTGAATTAAGATAGTCCCCACCCCCTAGGGGACTGAGGGGTGGGGCTGAAAATAGTAAAAAATTGACCGAAATTTCAAAAAATCTTCTCGATACCCAAATATGGTAGAATCAAATAGCATTTCCCATTTTTTCTTCTCTTTACTACACTTTCATTTCAATAGGTGAGTTCACTCAGGTGACTGTTTAAGCCTTTGGGCCTTTTGTTTTAGGTGAGGAATTCAATTTGTTCAAACAAAATTATTAGTAAATTACCTTTCTATGAATTACCCTATAATTATTTGTGAAAAATCTCCCTATGAATTACCCAATAATTATTTGTGAAAAATCTATCTATGAATTACCCTAAACTTATTTGTGAAAAATCTCCCTTTAGATTTGAAATTGCCCGGTGCATTTCAAAATTACCTCTTTTGTCAGTGTTAAATTGCCCAATTCATTCATATCTCCCTTGAATTGTGGTAATTTCATCCAAGTTCCATCCATTTATCAAAAAAATAAGCATATTTAGCATTCTGCAATTGGAAGCATGCAAAATTAATTTTAAAACTGTAGCTAGTTTTTTTTCTAATCATGAAAATGATATATATGCAAAAAAGAAATAATAACTGTTATACCTATGAATTTGTCTCTCTTAACATTACACAAGTATCTCTGAAACTTCTTAAATTTCAGATAACAATTTAAGGGCCATTGGCCTTTCTATGAGTATGTAAAACCACAACAGCACAATTAACATCTAATATTTCTTTCCTCTTTTCAGAGTTTTTTTTTTTATTTATTCGTAATATATAACAAAATGTACTATTGTTAAAATAAGGTTTGAAAATTTTTTAGTTAAGTTGAGAAATTCCGGCTGTAAAAAAAGTTCTCATAAATGAATCAGCTCTTTGCCATCGTATATTTTTGTGGTAATACCAGTGGAGTAGCTTTAACTGGTATTGAAGATAGGTCGGATTATTTTATATCACTTCTTACAGTAAATTGACACTGGATGATTTGGTCAACTGGACACAAGCTTTGGTCAGTGTCATCACTGCCTGCTTTTGCATGTTTAATTTACTGTAAAATCATATATTTTTGTGGGGCTCAAATTTCGTGGTTATCCAAAATTCAACATTTTTGTTAAGCCTTGATTTAGTGGTAATTCTTGCCCATCCAAATAAAACTGCTTGAACAGCTAATTTTTTTTTATTTGAATTAAAAAACCTCAACTAGCCTACTTAAATGTAGGTATTTTGTCAGTCCCCACAAAATTCCTTTTATCTTAGTAGTAATAAAGACTACTAAAACTTGAATATGGGAAACTGAAAAAACTCTGATAATTTCCAGTAAAATTTTGGTTCCAAAAAAGCAAAATCCTTCTTAAACATTCATTTTAACCAAAAGTTCAAATTTTCAGCCATATACAACACATTAAAACAATGATTTGACTTCTGACAAAGTGTTATGAAAATCTGACTTTTGTCAAAATAAAAACATGTTCATATAAAGAATCAGATTTCAACAATTTTGGTCAAATGTAAACGGAATCTTTCAGGAAGCCGTTTATTTGCCACTCAAGCTCAAGAAAATGTGACATGGAAATCAAATACACAGTCACATGGAACTTACTGCACAGCTGAAAATATAAGTGTGGTCTGGTTCTCTTGCTAATGGTTGCACATGAGCGTATAATGCTTTGATATGAAAAAACTGCCATGGTGTGTCATCTTTCATTGATCCAGTGTCAATTTTTCCTTTTAAATGACTTCTTCTCAATAATCAACATTTTCTGGTGTCATGATATATGGCTGGTGGTGTGTTGGGATGGAGCCCAACAAAATTTGCAAAAAGAAATGACCTTGACCCTTATTCAAGGTCACAGGGGTCAAATTTGTTTAAATAACTTCTTCTTACCAGAAGACTAAAAAGCATGGTATTTAGCTAACAGGTTCCTAGGATGAAACCTGACAAAGTTTGTGAAAAGAAATGGCCTTGGCACATATTGAAGGTCGAATGGTCAAATTTGTTAAAAAGAAATTAAAGTGACTTCATGTGCACTAACCAAAAGGTGCAGAAGCATGGTTTTTGGATGATATGTTCCTATGATGAAGCCTGACAGAGTTTGGGAAAAGAAATAACCTTTACCTATATACAAGGTCACAGGGGTCGCATTTGTTAAAACTTTTTCATAACTTCTTCTGACCAACTGAAAGACTCTGAAGCATGATATTTGGCTAATATGTATCTGGGATGAAGCCTTACAAATCTGGTAAAAAAATGACCTTGAGCCATATTCAAGGTCACAGGAGTCGAATTGTTGAAACCTGTTCAAGACTTCTTCTGGTAAATCAAAAAATTTTAAAAAGTAGGATATTTGGTGGAAAGGTGTTTCTAGGTCAATAAAGTTCGATAAATTTTGAGTAAAAAAAGAAATGACAACACAGGTCATAAATGTCACTATTTAGAGTTTAGTATTAGAAACTTTGTATTGTGGAAATTGGTTAGAATTGATTGGATGTGCCTACTTTGAAGCCAATGATACCAATTTTACTTTTGATGAACTTTTAATACCAAGTGAGCAGTGCAGGCCCATTGGGCCTCTTTTTAAGTGTCACATTTTACTGATGATGTTTCTTGCTTTAGTGTGACCTGTAGTGCTTAATAAATATCTTCAAGTACATGGACACTCCAACACAGTGAGTGCTATTGTGTCAAGTTTGTAATTGCATACCTCTATTCTGAACATTTCATCTGCTTACTGTGATGTCTGAGATAACACTTGCGCGTAAGTGTTGTGATGTTACTTGGGTTATTTCATGAAATATTATATCATAACTTTCATAAATCTACCTCTAACTTTTAAATGAATTACTGAAATTGTGTTTCATTTAATAATCTTTTCTTTCGATAACTTTGAAATTGACCTGTATGTCTGTTAATGAATGACACAAACAACCTCATTTTGTTTGCTCTTAAGGCTATATATTACACAAATTCACAAACTCGGGAAGTTTTTCCACAATCCTTAAAACTTGGAGTTGATAACGTTTGACACTTCTGTAATCCATGTCAACATTTATCTGTTTATTATTTTGTGGATTTAGAGTACCCATGAAATTCATCAAAAATAAATGCCCCACAAAAATTAATGATTTTACAGTAACTGTTCACAGGCCTTGATTAGTGTCAGTGCTGTACGCTCTCTCTTGTATGACTTGAGTAGTTTATTTTCAGGCTGGTAAGTATTACATGTAGATACTGGTTTGATATAGCACAACCAGTGAAATTTTGGTTGATCAAGGTATTTTCATGCAATATTTCAATAATATATAACTATAGGATATGTCCTTTTGTTCAGTTTACTAGACAAATGTCCGATGAATATCTATATACATGAAATCACGATGTAAAATGTAATGGATGTAAAAATGAAATTGATGGCTTACAATTTGGCTGCTTTTACAATACAGGTGTTAAAAATGTGAAATATGACAATCAAATAAATATGTATAGTGATACCTAGAGTATACAGGTAATTATATATAAAGCTGATGGTAGATGAACTACTTCCCTAGATTGTGTTGTACACAACACATTTATCAACAATAGTAAAACCCATTGAGACTCATTATCCCTGTCTCATTGGTTATAGTCTTTTAGGCCCCTAGCTGACATTCGTGGACCCAATCAGTAATACCACATGAGGAACCGAAAGATCTTGTAGAAAGCATGTCCATGGTCCTGATAGAAAGAGAGGAACTGATTTTAAATCAGGCAGTGTATTTTTTCACAATTATTAAATGAGGTACTTCAAACTGTTTAGAACAACCAGTTTCAGAACATTACAGGCTTACTGGTATTTATTCTAGCATATTGGCTTTGGGCAGCCTAGTGTTTCATATCATAGCCATTTTGTTTATGGACTGTCTTGAAGAGGCAACCATAGTCTAGCTCCCTTAGATTGCAGGCCTAGCTCATGGGGATGATACTGACAGTCTATCAGAGGTGATAAGGTTTGGCTACACCTGAACTGTTGATCCCATGAACAGTATCATGTGGTACCCAGAACTATGTGGTACCCAGGACCATGTGGTACCCAGAACTATGTGGTACCCAGAACCATGTGGTACCCATGACCATGTGGTACCCAGAACCATGTGGTACCCAGAACTATGTGGTACCCAGGACCATGTGGTACCCAGAACCATGTGGTACCCAGAACTATGTGGTACCCAGAAGTATGTGGTACCCAGGACCATGTGGTACCCAGAACTATGTGGTACCCAGAACCATGTGGTACCCATGACCATGTGGTACCCAGAACCATGTGGTACCCAGAACTATGTGGTACCCAGGACCATGTGGTACCCAGAACCATGTGGTACCCATGACCATGTGGTACCCAGAACTATGTGGTACCCAGAACTATGTGGTACCCAGAACCATGTGGTCCCCATATAGTAAAATATCACCTCTTGAAGTTTCATAGCATAAAAACATGAGAAGACCAGTGTTTAACTATGTATATTTCACATTTCATTTTCCATTTGATTTTAGCTCATTAAGTCCAATAGGCCTACTTTTTAGTATACATATACTTTACTGATTTTTTGATTGCTGAAAGGTGACGTGTTATTTATAATACTCGTCATCAGAATGAGACACATGATCTTAACTGTTTCACTGGTTCTGCTGTAGAAGTTGGTATCTACAACTAGTCATAGGCTTTAATGTCAACATCTGTCTTTCTTGTCATTGTTGATTCCAGCATGTTTTTTATGGTAGTTACAACTGTTGCTAGGCAACTACCTATATATACTGCTCTTTTTTTTTACAGCCGAGGAAAGCATTACTTGATCAGTTGAGTGCTGTCCTGGGAGGATCAGATGACCTTTTACCAGAGAATGTAGTACTGGTCAACACAGTGGAATGGCAGGGGCAGGTGGGTGGTCATTTTACCCAAAACTTATTGATGTGATATTTTCTACTCCTAAAAACATACTCTAATGTTGTCCATGTTTTGTTTCAATCTGAAGCTTTAGTGTAATCTTTATTCAATGATATCATGCAAAGATTAAAGATGAACTTGAATTTGAGCCAGTTCCGCTACATTTAATTTGCATGCTGCTATTCTTTCCATTTCTTTGCATGAGGGGGATTAAAAACACTGCTATGGTCCAGGTAATTGTTACTAAAAACAGAACAGATAATATACCATCAAAATTTATTATTTGAAATACCTTACTGATGATATTAAGAAGCAAAATTGACAGTTACTGGAACAAAATCAGGTCAAATTTAAACATTTTACTGACGGATAGTTTGTATAGTATTATAAAGCAAAGTTGAGCAGATTCAATGAGAATCATTTTGCGAGAGGTCAAGGTTGCCAGGTTGAAGCAAAAGATAAATTTGTACCTGGGGAAAGCAAAGTTGACAAGAATCAAATGGGAAATCGTCTTATAGCTGGTCAAGGACACAAGGTTAAAGGTCAAATTCTACATTTTTCATTGGTAGAAATTTTATGATGTTATGAAGTAAAATTTGCTGAAATGAAACAAGATGTCAACTGACTGTAGCTCAAGTTCAAGGTCATATTTTGAATACTATATAAGTAAATCATATGTTATAGTATCATGATTCAAAGCTGATTAATGGGCAGCCACGTGACCAAAATGTCAGGGTCATCGGGTGGAAGGTCAAGGTCACATATTGATTATTTTATTGGTAAATTCTTTGTTTAGACATGACATGATCATCCAAACGTCAATGTTAACATTTTATATCTCAATTCTAGTGAACAATTTTGTCTCGGTAAATTGAATTGAAACTGTATGTTTTGAATTAAATGAAGACTTACTGTGCAGGAGGAGGATATGAAGGGTGATAAGAATCGCAAAGAAGAGCCCATTACAGCTCATGATTAATTACCATTTAATTCACACAGTTTTTAATGTCTCTAAATATGTATCCGTGTTACCAATAGTGGTCTATAGTGGATATTAAATATGTTTTGTGTTCGGAGCATATAAACTGACTATCTGAAGTTGAATGTAACCTTCCAGTTATACTTGTGTTTAGAGTTATACACATGGCAGGGCCATTTGTATTGTGTGTAATTGTAGCTGTCAGCTGATGTGTTTAGGTTATTTGTATTGTGTGTAATTGTAGCTGTCAGCTGATGTGTTTAGGTTATTTGTATTGTGTGTAATTGTAGCTGTCAGCTGATGTGTTTAGGTTATTTGTATTGTGTGTAATTGTAGCTGTCAGCTGATGTGTTTAGGTTATTTGTATTGTGTGTAATTGTAGTTGTCAGCTGATGTGTTTAGGTTATTTTTATTTAGTGAAATAATTACAAGATATGCTTTCATTTAGTGACTGCATGATCATGATTCTTGGTTCAGTTGATGGTGCAGAAACTCCAGGAGAAACAGCTAAAGGTGATCTGTACATGTGGAGATGCTGACGTCAAGGCAGCTATGAGCTTTTTGGTCACAAAAATCCAGAAATTGTAAGTACTACTTCCAAAGAGTATTGTAATTGATAAGTAAAAGACAAAAAATATCCAAATCCGAAACGTGTTGTGGACCAATACCATTAGCAAAAATACTGGATATGTTTTATCTATGCTTAAATGATTGAAAAAGATTGCCACATAAGATTTTACTGTAAATTTGTTAAGTTTTTTTTTTTTTTTTTTTTTAAATTTTTTTTTTTTTTTTTTTTCTTTTTTTTTTTTTTTTTTTTTGATGTAGAATTGTTATTTTATTTTTTTTTTTTTTTTTTTTTGTTTCAATTTGTTTCAATCCTAACAAATCTTTTGTGGATTCAAAATTATACACAAGGTTTCATTGGCAAAATCCTCACAATAAAGCTGATAGGAGTGAGTCCAACACAGGAGGTTCTTTTCATCCAGATCTAATGACAGTGTTTGTTTTATCCAGATCTAATGACAGTGTTTGTTTTATCCAGATCTAATGACAGTGTTTGTTTTATCCAGATCTAATGACAGTGTTTGTTTTATCCAGATCTAATGACAGTGTTTGTTTTATCCAGATCTAATGACAGTGTTTGTTTTATACAGATCTAATGACAGTGTTTGTTTTATCCAGATCTAATGACAGTGTTTGTTTTATCCAGATCTAATGACAGTGTTTGTTTTATCCAGATCTGTTTGACAGTGTTTGTTTTATCCAGATCTAATGACAGTGTTTGTTTTATCCAGATCTAATGACAGTGTTTGTTTTATCCAGATCTAATGACAGTGTTTGTTTTATCCAGATCTAATGACAGTGTTTGTTTTATCCAGATCTAATGACAGTGTTTGTTTTATCCAGATCTAATGACAGTGTTTGTTTTATCCAGATCTAATGACAGTGTTTGTTTTATCCAGATCTAATGACAGTGTTTGTTTTATCCAGATCTAATGACAGTGTTTGTTTTATCCAGATCTAATGACAGTGTTTGTTTTATCCAGATCTAATGACAGTGTTTGTTTTATCCAGATCTAATGACAGTGTTTGTTTTATACAGATCTAATGACAGTGTTTGTTTTATCCAGATCTAATGACAGTGTTTGTTTTATCCAGATCTAATGACAGTGTTTGTTTTATCCAGATCTAATGACAGTGTTTGTTTTATCCAGATCTAATGACAGTGTTTGTTTTATCCAGATCTAATGACAGTGTTTGTTTTATCCAGATCTAATGACAGTGTTTGTTTTATCCAGATCTAATGACAGTGTTTGTTTTATCCAGATCTAATGACAGTGTTTGTTTTATCCAGATCTAATGACAGTGTTTGTTTTATCCAGATCTAATGACAGTGTTTGTTTTATCCAGATCTAATGACAGTGTTTGTTTTATCCAGATCTAATGACAGTGTTTGTTTTATCCAGATCTAATGACAGTGTTTGTTTTATCCAGATCTAATGACAGTGTTTGTTTTATCCAGATCTAATGACAGTGTTTGTTTTATCCAGATCTAATGACAGTGTTTGTTTTATCCAGATCTAATGACAGTGTTTGTTTTATCCAGATCTAATGACAGTGTTTGTTTTATCCAGATCTAATGACAGTGTTTGTTTTATCCAGATCTAATGACAGTGTTTGTTTTATCCAGATCTAATGACAGTGTTTGTTTTATCCAGATCTAATGACAGTGTTTGTTTTATCCAGATCTAATGACAGTGTTTGTTTTATCCAGATCTAATGACAGTGTTTGTTTTATCCAGATCTAATGACAGTGTTTGTTTTATCCAGATCTAATGACAGTGTTTGTTTTATCCAGATCTAATGACAGTGTTTGTTTTATCCAGATCTAATGACAGTGTTTGTTTTATCCAGATCTAATGACAGTGTTTGTTTTATCCAGATCTAATGACAGTGTTTGTTTTATCCAGATCTAATGACAGTGTTTGTTTTATCCAGATCTAATGACAGTGTTTGTTTTATCCAGATCTAATGACAGTGTTTGTTTTATCCAGATCTAATGACAGTGTTTGTTTTATCCAGATCTAATGACAGTGTTTGTTTTATCCAGATCTAATGACAGTGTTTGTTTTATCCAGATCTAATGACAGTGTTTGTTTTATCCAGATCTAATGACAGTGTTTGTTTTATCCAGATCTAATGACAGTGTTTGTTTTATCCAGATCTAATGACAGTGTTTGTTTTATCCAGATCTAATGACAGTGTTTGTTTTATCCAGATCTAATGACAGTGTTTGTTTTATCCAGATCTAATGACAGTGTTTGTTGTATACAGATCTAATGACAGTGTTTGTTTTATCCAGATCTAATGACAGTGTTTGTTTTATCCAGATCTAATGACAGTGTTTGTTTTATCCAGATCTAATGACAGTGTTTGTTTTATCCAGATCTAATGACAGTGTTTGTTTTATCCAGATCTAATGACAGTGTTTGTTTTATCCAGATCTAATGACAGTGTTTGTTTTATCCAGATCTAATGACAGTGTTTGTTTTATCCAGATCTAATGACAGTGTTTGTTTTATCCAGATCTAATGACAGTGTTTGTTTTATCCAGATCTAATGACAGTGTTTGTTTTATCCAGATCTAATGACAGTGTTTGTTTTATCCAGATCTAATGACAGTGTTTGTTTTATCCAGATCTAATGACAGTGTTTGTTTTATCCAGATCTAATGACAGTGTTTGTTTTATCCAGATCTAATGACAGTGTTTGTTTTATCCAGATCTAATGACAGTGTTTGTTTTATCCAGATCTAATGACAGTGTTTGTTTTATCCAGATCTAATGACAGTGTTTGTTTTATACAGATCTAATGACAGTGTTTGTTTTATCCAGATCTAATGACAGTGTTTGTTTTATCCAGATCTAATGACAGTGTTTGTTTTATCCAGATCTAATGACAGTGTTTGTTTTATACAGATCTAATGACAGTGTTTGTTTTATCCAGATCTAATGACAGTGTTTGTTTTATCCAGATCTAATGACAGTGTTTGTTTTATCCAGATCTAATGACAGTGTTTGTTTTATCCAGATCTAATGACAGTGTTTGTTTTATCCAGATCTAATGACAGTGTTTGTTTTATCCAGATCTAATGACAGTGTTTGTTTTATCCAGATCTAATGACAGTGTTTGTTTTATCCAGATCTAATGACAGTGTTTGTTTTATCCAGATCTAATGACAGTGTTTGTTTTATCCAGATCTAATGACAGTGTTTGTTTTATCCAGATCTAAGGACAGTGTTTGTTTTATCCAGATCTAATGACAGTGTTTGTTTTATCCAGATCTAATGACAGTGTTTGTTTTATCCAGATCTAATGACAGCGTTTGTTTTATCCAGATCTAATGACAGTGTTTGTTTTATCCAGATCTAATGACAGTGTTTGTTTTATCCAGATCTAATGACAGTGTTTGTTTTATCCAGATCTAATGACAGTGTTTGTTTTATCCAGATCTAATGACAGTGTTTGTTTTATCCAGATCTAATGACAGTGTTTGTTTTATCCAGATCTAATGACAGTGTTTGTTTTATCCAGATCTAATGACAGTGTTTGTTTTATCCAGATCTAATGACAGTGTTTGTTTTATCCAGATCTATTGACAGTGTTTGTTTTATCCAGATCTAATGACAGTGTTTGTTTTATCCAGATCTAATGACAGTGTTTGTTTTATCCAGATCTAATGACAGTGTTTGTTTTATATCTAATGACAGTGTTTGTTTTAGATCTAATGACAGTGTTTGTTTTATCCAGATCTAATGACAGTGTTTGTTTTATCCAGATCTAATGACAGAGTTTGTTTTATCCAGATCTAATGACAGTGTTTGTTTTATCCAGATCTAATGACAGTGTTTGTTTTATCCAGATCTAATGACAGTGTTTGTTTTTTTGTTTTATACAGATCTAATGACAGTGTTTGTTTTATCCAGATCTAATGACAGTGTTTGTTTTATACAGATCTAATGACAGTGTTTGTTTTATCCAGATCTAATGACAGTGTTTGTTTTATCCAGATCTAATGACAGTGTTTGTTTTATCCAGATCTAATGACAGTGTTTGTTTTATCCAGATCTAATGACAGTGTTTGTTTTATCCAGATCTAATGACAGTGTTTGTTTTATCCAGATCTAATGACAGTGTTTGTTTTATCCAGATCTAATGACAGTGTTTGTTTTATCCAGATCTAATGACAGTGTTTGTTTTATCCAGATCTAATGACAGTGTTTGTTTTATCCAGATCTAATGACAGTGTTTGTTTTATTATCTAATGACAGTGTTTGATCTAATGACAGTGTTTGTTTTATCCAGATCTAATGACAGTGTTTGTTTTATCCAGATCTAATGACAGCATTTGTTTTATCCAGATCTAATGACAGTGTTTGTTTTATCCAGATCTAATGACAGCATTTGTTTTATCCAGATCTAATGACAGTGTTTGTTTTATCCAGATCTAATGACAGTGTTTGTTTTATCCAGATCTAATGACAGTGTTTGTTTTATCCAGATCTAATGACAGTGTTTGTTTTATCCAGATCTAATGACAGTGTTTGTTTTATCCAGATCTAATGACTGTGTTTGTTTTATCCAGATCTAATGACAGTGTTTGTTTTATCCTGATCTAATGACAGTGTTTGTTTTATCCAGATCTAATGACAGTGTTTGTTTTATCCAGATCTAATGACAGTGTTTGTTTTATCCAGATCTAATGACAGTGTTTGTTTTATCCAGATCTAATGACAGTGTTTGTTTTATCCAGATCTAATGACAGTGTTTGTTTTATCCAGATCTAATGACAGTGTTTGTTTTATCCAGATCTAATGACAGTGTTTGTTTTATCCAGATCTAATGACAGTGTTTGTTTTATCCAGATCTAATGACAGTGTTTGTTTTATCCAGATCTAATGACAGTGTTTGTTTTATCCAGATCTAATGACAGTGTTTGTTTTATCCAGATCTAATGACAGTGTTTGTTTTATCCAGATCTAATGACAGTGTTTGTTTTATCCAGATCTAATGACAGTGTTTGTTTTATCCAGATCTAATGACAGTGTTTGTTTTATCCAGATCTAATGACAGAGATTGTTTTATACAGATCAAATGACAGAGATTGTTTTATCCAGATCTAATGACAGTGTTTGTTTTATGATCTAATGACAGTGTTTGTTTTATCCAGATCTAATGACAGTGTTTGTTTTATCCAGATCTAATGACAGTGTTTGTTTTATCCAGATCTAATGACAGTGTTTGTTTTATCCAGATCTAATGACAGTGTTTGTTTTATCCAGATCTAATGACAGTGTTTGTTTTATCCAGATCTAATGACAGTGTTTGTTTTATCCAGATCTAATGACAGTGTTTGTTTTATCCAGATCTAATGACAGTGTTTGTTTTATCCAGATCTAATGACAGTGTTTGTTTTATCCAGATCTAATGACAGTGTTTGTTTTATCCAGATCTAATGACAGTGTTTGTTTTATACAGATCTAATGACAGTGTTTGTTTTATCCAGATCTAATGACAGTGTTTGTTTTATCCAGATCTAATGACAGTGTTTGTTTTATCCAGATCTAATGACAGTGTTTGTTTTATCCAGAATGACAGTGTTTGTTTTATCCAGATCTAATGACAGTGTTTGTTTTATCCAGATCTAATGACAGTGTTTGTTTTATCCAGATCTAATGACAGTGTTTGTTTTATACAGATCTAATGACAGTGTTTGTTTTATCCAGATCTAATGACAGTGTTTGTTTTATCCAGATCTAATGACAGTGTTTGTTTTATCCAGATCTAATGACAGTGTTTGTTTTATCCAGATCTAATGACAGTGTTTGTTTTATCCAGATCTAATGACAGTGTTTGTTTTATCCAGATCTAATGACAGTGTTTGTTTTATCCAGATCTAATGACAGTGTTTGTTTTATCCAGATCTAATGACAGTGTTTGTTTTATCCAGATCTAATGACAGTGTTTGTTTTATCCAGATCTAATGACAGTGTTTGTTTTATCCAGATCTAATGACAGTGTTTGTTTTATCCAGATCTAATGACAGTGTTTGTTTTATCCAGATCTAATGACAGTGTTTGTTTTATCCAGATCTAATGACAGTGTTTGTTTTATCCAGATCTAATGACAGTGTTTGTTTTATCCAGATCTAATGACAGTGTTTGTTTTATAGATCTAATGACAGTGTTTGTTTTATCCAGATCTAATGACAGTGTTTGTTTTATCCAGATCTAATGACAGTGTTTGTTTTATCCAGATCTAATGACAGTGTTTGTTTTATCCAGATCTAATGACAGTGTTTGTTTTATCCAGATCTAATGACAGTGTTTGTTTTATCCAGATCTAATGACAGTGTTTGTTTTATCCAGATCTAATGACAGTGTTTGTTTTATCCAGATCTAATGACAGTGTTTGTTTTATCCAGATCTAATGACAGTGTTTGTTTTATCCAGATCTAATGACAGTGTTTGTTTTATCCAGATCTAATGACAGTGTTTGTTTTATCCAGATCTAATGACAGTGTTTGTTTTATCCAGATCTAATGACATTTGTTTTATCCAGATCTAATGACAGTGTTTGTTTTATCCAGATCTAATGACAGTGTTTGTTTTATCCAGATCTAATGACAGTGTTTGTTTTATCCAGATCTAATGACAGTGTTTGTTTTATCCAGATCTAATGACAGTGTTTGTTTTATCCAGATCTAATGACAGTGTTTGTTTTATCCAGATCTAATGACAGTGTTTGTTTTATCCAGATCTAATGACAGTGTTTGTTTTATCCAGATCTAATGACAGTGTTTGTTTTATCCAGATCTAATGACAGTGTTTGTTTTATCCAGATCTAATGACAGTGTTTGTTTTATCCAGATCTAATGACAGTGTTTGTTTTATCCAGATCTAATGACAGTGTTTGTTTTATCCAGATCTAATGACAGTGTTTGTTTTATCCAGATCTAATGACAGTGTTTGTTTTATCCAGATCTAATGACAGTGTTTGTTTTATCCAGATCTAATGACAGTGTTTGTTATCTAAAGAGCGCGTATGATTTGAACACATCTCAAGACAATTGTTTTGTCCAGATCTAATGACAGTGTTTGTTTTATCCAGCACTAATGACAGTGTTTGTTTTATCCAGATCTAATGACAGTGTTTGTTTTATCCAGATCTAATGACAGTGTTTGTTTTATCTAATGACAGTGTTTGTTTTATCCAGATCTAATGACAGTGTTTGTTTTATCCAGATCTAATGACAGTGTTTGTTTTATCCAGATCTAATGACAGTGTTTGTTTTATCCAGATCTAATGACAGTGTTTGTTTTATCCAGATCTAATGACAGTGTTTGTTTTATCCAGATCTAATGACAGTGTTTGTTTTATCCAGATCTAATGACAGTGTTTGTTTTATCCAGATCTAATGACAGTGTTTGTTTTATCCAGATCTAATGAATGACAGTGTTTGTTTTATCCAGATCTAATGACAGTGTTTGTTTTATCCAGATCTAATGACAGTGTTTGTTTTATCCAGATCTAATGACAGTGTTTGTTTTATCCAGATCTAATGACAGTGTTTGTTTTATCCAGATCTAATGACAGTGTTTGTTTTATCCAGATCTAATGACAGTGTTTGTTTTATCCAGATCTAAGGACAGTGTTTGTTTTATCCAGATCTAATGACAGTGTTTGTTTTATCCAGATCTAATGACAGTGTTTGTTTTATCCAGATCTAATGACAGTGTTTGTTTTATCCAGATCTAATGACAGTGTTTGTTTTATCCAGATCTAATGACAGTGTTTGTTTTATCCAGATCTAATGACAGTGTTTGTTTTATCCAGATCTAATGACAGTGTTTGTTTTATCCAGATCTAATGACAGTGTTTGTTTTATCCAGATCTAATGACAGTGTTTGTTTTATCCAGATCTAATGACAGTGTTTGTTTTATCCAGATCTAATGACAGTGTTTGTTTTATCCAGATCTAATGACAGTGTTTGTGATCTAATGACAGCGTTTGTTTTATCCAGATCTAATGACAGTGTTTGTTTTATCCAGATCTAATGACAGTGTTTGTTTTATCCAGATCTAATGACAGTGTTTGTTTTATCCAGATCTAATGACAGTGTTTGTTTTATCCAGATCTAATGACAGTGTTTGTTTTATCCAGATCTAATGACAGTGTTTGTTTTATCCAGATCTAATGACAGTGTTTGTTTTATCCAGATCTAATGACAGTGTTTGTTTTATCCAGATCTAATGACAGTGTTTGTTTTTATCCAGATCTAATGACAGTGTTTGTTTTATCCAGATCTAATGACAGTGTTTGTTTTATCCAGATCTAATGACAGTGTTTGTTTTATCCAGATCTAATGACAGTGTTTGTTTTATCCAGATCTAATGACAGTGTTTGTTTTATCCAGATCTAATGACAGTGTTGTGATCTAATGACAGTGTTTGTTTTATCCAGATCTAATGACAGTGTTTGTGATCTAATGACAGTGTTTGTTTTATCCAGATCTAATGACAGTGTTTGTTTTATCCAGATCTAATGACAGTGTTTGTTTTATCCAGATCTAATGACAGTGTTTGTTTTATCCAGATCTAATGACAGTGTTTGTTTTATCCAGATCTAATGACAGTGTTTGTTTTATCCAGATCTAATGACAGTGTTTGTTTTATCCAGATCTAATGACAGTGTTTGTTTTATCCAGATCTAATGACAGTGTTTGTTTTATCCAGATCTAATGACAGTGTTTGTTTTATCCAGATCTAATGACAGTGTTTGTTTTATCCAGATCTAATGACAGTGTTTGTTTTATCCAGATCTAATGACAGTGTTTGTGATCTAATGACAGTGTTTGTTTTATCCAGATCTAATGACAGTGTTTGTTTTATCCAGATCTAATGACAGTGTTTGTTTTATCCAGATCTAATGACAGTGTTTGTTTTATCCAGATCTAATGACAGTGTTTGTTTTATCCAGATCTAATGACAGTGTTTGTTTTATCCAGATCTAATGACAGTGTTTGTTTTATCCAGATCTAATGACAGTGTTTGTTTTGAGATCTAATGACAGTGTTTGTTTTATCCAGATCTAATGACAGTGTTTGTTTTATCCAGATCTAATGACAGTGTTTGTTTTATCCAGATCGCTAATGACAGTGTTTGTGATCTAATGACAGCGTTTGTTTTATCCAGATCTAATGACAGTGTTTGTTTTATCCAGATCTAATGACAGTGTTTGTTTTATCCAGATCTAATGACAGTGTTTGTTTTATCCAGATCTAATGACAGTGTTTGTTTTATCCAGATCTAATGACAGTGTTTGTTTTATCCAGATCTAATGACAGTGTTTGTTTTATCCAGATCTAATGACAGTGTTTGTTTTATCCAGATCTAATGACAGCATTTGTTTTATCCAGATCTAATGACAGTGTTTGTGATCTAATGACAGTGTTTGTTTTATCCAGATCTAATGACAGTGTTTGTTTTATCCAGATCTAATGATCTAATGAAGATCTATGTTAACTTGAAAAATTGATGATGTTGGATAAAAAAAAGAACCTCCTGTGTGTCGGACTCACTCCTACCAGCTTTATTTTATATGTTTAGTATGTAAACAGGAAATATCAACAAGACAAAACTTTTGTTTTGCTTACATCATACTGTTGTTATTAAGGACGAAAAAAGGAAATCACCTGGAGACAGCCGACAGACTTGCAAATGTTAGTGATACAAATATTTTGGCTTGTTGATGCTTCATTTTTACATATTTCGACAATAAACAATATTGGTTAGAAGTTGAATTTATTAAGTATTTCAGTAACACCTGTCTAAGTAAATACATGTTACCTGGTAGACCGTCACCTACTTACAGTTGTAACAGTAACTCTAAAAGTCCACAACCTGTGAAGGTGGGCATTGCTGGGGGCGATGGCTACATCAATTCCGTACTACGACCATATGTAGAACAGTTCTCCGCCAAACCTCATGACTGGCAGAACTACGTACGCTTTCTAGTCATACCATTTGGTAAGTAACATTTGATTGGTTAAGGCAGGATGCAGGTTGCAGCGACTGACCAATCAGGATGCAGACATAGCTGCTCTGTTGCTGTTTTGTACATAACATGCATGTATATATATAGGTTTGTTAATTGATGGTGTATTAGTATATCTAAGTTAGGGAAAGAAAATGTCTATACACAATTATTAAGAAATCTGGTCAAGGTTGGCATTGTCACGGACCTACATTCATCCTGTCACTATAGACTCCTGTCACTATAGGCTCATGTCGCTATAGGCTCATGTCACTATGGACTCCTGTCACTAAGACTCCTACATTCATCCTGTCACTATAGGCTCCTGTCACTATAGGCTCATGTCACTATAGACTCCTGTCACTAAGACTCCTGTCACTATAGGCTCATGTCACTATAGGCTCCTGTCACTATAGACTCCTGTCACTATAGACTCCTGTCACTAAGACTCCTACATTCATCCTGTCACTATAGACTCCTGTCACTATAGGCTCATGTCACTATAGACTCCTGTCACTATAGACTCCTGTCACTAAGACTCCTACATTCATCCTGTCACTATGGACTCCTGTCACTATAGGCTCATGTCACTATAGACTCCTGTCACTATAGACTCCTGTCACTAAGACTCCTACATTCATCCTGTCACTATGGACTCCTGTCACTATAGGCTCATGTCACTATGGACTCCTGTCACTATAGACTCCTGTCACTAAGACTCCTACATTCATCCTGTCACTATAGACTACAGACTCCTGTCACTATCGACTCATGTCAATATAGACTCCTATCACTATAGTCATCTGTCACTATCGACTACAGACTCCTGTCACTATAGACATCTGTCACTATAGACTCCTGTCACTATAGACATCTGTCACTATAGACTCCTGTCACTGTAGGCTCCTCTCACTGTAGACTCCTGTCACTATAGACTTCCCTTGGCCTGCCCTGATGGTTGATGTATTTAAAAGTATTAATGACTGATAACCACCCAATGATTTCCATGACAACAACATCAACATTGTCTTTCAATACCAAACTGTCAAATACCATAGGAACATCCACGAGGTCATTGTCATTAGCTAGATGGAAGTTAGAGTAAAGGGTTTGCAACTTTTTTATGAATGAGTTGAAATCTGAAAAAATCTCCTGAATAATCAGATGCCAACAGGTTTAGGATTTTTGGCAGGAAACATTTTGAGCAGTGTCTCCTTTTTTCAAATTTTTTCAAAATGATCGAAAAGTTTAAACTACTTTCAAGGTCCAAGGGATCAAAGGTGTTGCCTTCAAACAATTTCATCTGAATAACTCACGAGTTGTGAAATTTAGCTATCAAAGTCAAAGGGGTCAAATATGTTACCTTTAAAGAATTTTATTTGAATATTTGAATAATATATATATATTTGAAAGGCCATAGGTCATGATATTTTCTCATATAATGATGGCATGAAGGGATCAGATAAAATTGCCCAGACCAATTGTTGATCAGGTTTCTTTCCCTGGAGAATATTTATAACATGTGTGACAATAAGTTGATGACAAATATCCATAATGAATTGTAAATATCAGTATATATATATGTGTGTATAAGGGCTATCGCTGACATTCCTTTAGATTCACAGAACTGAATTATAACTGGTGAGCAATATAAGTATATTGACGTTTCCTTTTTTGCTTGACTCAAGTAAAAGCAATGTGTTGACAGGTCTGTCAGTCTTTTGTGTTCAGCAACTTGTCCTGTCAAAGAGACATTCTGTCTTGATCAAGGGAGATTTAAATGGGATGATATTTGTCCTATTACAGGTGCAAGTTGTATAGGTAAACATCTTGGAGCCCTGGATAACACCTACAGTTCCCTGTTCCTCGACTCCCTGTGGAAGGATACATTTGAGAAGCCAGAGATCTCTAAGCTAGGTAATGTAAAAAAAAGATAGTCCTTCAGAATCAGGTATTGAAAGAAACCGGACAAAGTAAGGTTTGTAACTGCTATAGGACAGGGATGGTCCTAAATAATCTGGTTGTGAAAGGATTATAGGACAAAGTTCGGTTTGTAACTCCTACAAGACAGGGTTGTAGAGAGAAGTAGCATTCCAATCATATTTTCTTCCTCTTTATATCAACATTTTTAACACACCATCATCAGATGGTACATTCAAATTGCCCTATGTTGGTAGCCTGTGGTTCGTCCGTCGTCCATCTGTCCATAAAAAAGTTTGTTTTCACTATTTCTTGAGAAGTACTGGATGAATCTTCCTCATATTTGTTATGTAGGTTTCCTTTGGTCCCTTGTTGTTCCCATTTGATTTTGAGTCTGATCAGAAACAAAAAGGGGTCATCAGGCAGCCATTTTGGATTTTTTTAAACAATGAAGTCCATTATCTATTCTTCTTGAGAATTAGTACCCAATGGATCTCTTTCAAATTTCATATTTCTCCTTGGTTCCTATTAATGCCCATTTGATTTTAGAAATGATTAAAGTAAACAAAATGGCTGACAGATGGTCATCTTGGATTTAGCCTAATACAGTTTATCACCACTTTTTGAGAAGAACTGGATGAATTTTTCTCACATTTCATATGTATGTTTCCTTTGGTCCCTACTCATGCCTGTTTGGCTTTAAGATTTATTGATACCTGTACCTTAAGTATAAACTAATGAGGATTGGTAGTTGACCCACACATAAAGTATAAACTATTGAGGATTGGAAGTTAACCCATACATAACGTATAAACTATTGAGGATTGGAAGTTAACCTTTACATAACGTATAAACTATTGAGGATTGGAAGTTGACCCATACATAAAGTATAAACTAATGAGGATTGGAAGTTAACCCATACATAAAGTATAAACTATTGAAGATTGGAAGTTAACCAGAAGTAAGTCATTATGAACACAAATGCAGTTCATATTTACTGCATGCAGGATTTGAGGATTTGTGAGGGTGATGAAAAGGACATGGGAAACAGCTATATTCTGCAGGTGTCACTCCTGAGCTTTGTGTCACTTGGCAAGTATGTGCCAGATCCAGCTCTGGTGAAAAGATAATCAGGAAGAAAATCATAGTTCATGTGTTGTATCTAAATGAACTTTAAATCTGTGTTATGTTTAAAAATTTGTATTTAAGAAACCTTTTCATTTGTTGCAGATTCTCAGGAAATTCTGAATCGGGTGTCAAAGTACCTGAGTAATGCCAACGGACTGTTACAAATCCCAATCTCTGAAGCAATGGTCATGTGTCGTGGTAGGAGGTAGGTATTGATGCATGATGTACTGGATGGGCTGCTATCAAAATTTACGGAGTTGTCATTTTGCAAAATCATCAGACTGATGAATTTGCTGTCGTAGTAATTTCTATATAAACAACATTCAGTAAGTTTGCAGTCGTATTTTAGCATATTACTTTTACATGTCACAGACTAGATCAAGATTACAACTATAATGTGCACACTCATAGTATATCTCTATACACATGGACACAGGCCATGACGGCTCAGTTGTTAGAGTACACGTATCCTGTTAATACAAGGTCAGATGGAGATCAAAGGCATGTGTTCCAAACCCTACTTGGGGGTAGTTTAAGGAACAGAATGTCCCATGCTATCATGGTTTTAACAATTTTGGCTAGACACTTTACTCAAATTGCTTTCAACAGCATGATGTGACCTCCCATATGATGTTCAGTAAGGTATATAGCTACTACAATATGACCTTGACTGTTCATAGGAAAGTAGACCCCACAAACAAACATATTGACAAGTTTCTAGCAATAACATCTTTACAGGTTGATTCCTATTTGTTATCTCAAAACCAAATGGATCTTTTTTAGATCTTTAGGGGTGAAGAGTTACGAATGTTCAGATATATTCTAACTGTTGATTATTATACCCTCACAACAAAAGTCATTGCATATGTATGGTTATGTCTTGAAAGATTTCACGATTCTGCTGACTGCCTTTAACATCTGTTCACATTTCAACCTTCAGCAAACAAAAACTGTGACACTATTACTGTAAAGAACCATCAGTATAAATAATGATGGACAGAATTTGGCTCAATGTTTCAACGTTCTCATTTACAATATAAGGTAATTAGTTACTTGTTTAATGTACATTTCTCCTGGACAGTCCAGCTCAGGAGACAGGGGAAATTTCATTCAACTTTGGTGCATGATGCATGTATTAGTCTTAGTTGCAAGGTCTTGTTACAGACACATCAATGCAATGGTAAGACATCAGCATAGTTGACATATTTTGTTATAGATTTATCATATACTCTTTATAAGGTCCTAACTTATAGATTATTTTTACCCGGTAATTTGTGTTTTCTGCTGTCATTGTACATTTACTTCGGAGTGTGATCATTAAAACAGGGAATGGGTGGTGGTAAGTCTGTATCCTTGTTAGAATGCCTCTTTCAATTATCATACAATTCTGTTCTGTTTACAGCTCTGATGATGAGTCTTCTCAGATGTTTCTACCTTTCCTGAGTGTAAGTTTTAAGTTCCTGGCCATCATCTGATGTAAAAAGTGCCAGACTTATTAATATCCTTAAACAAGACATCATTTGTGTCAAGCATTTATTAAATAATTGTTTTTAATTACAAGTGCATGTACACTGTGGTTGAAGTTAAGGGGTCAGAGGTCACTCAGTTTTGTTGATAGTTGCATTGCGGTATTGAAATATCATGTTTTACAAATATTTTATTTTAGTAATTTTGGTAATGGTGAGGAAATTTCTTTGTCCCTAATTACTTTTATCTGGCTTTACAGGAAGTGAAAATTGGAAATCCGGAAATGTTAAATGCATCAGGTAGGTATTGGACCAGCGTGTTTATAGATCGTTACTTGAGCAGGATTAACACTGTTAATGTCTCTACATTATTTTGTATCATTTATGCAATTACATCATCTCGTTTAATTTTCTTTAAATTCCTCGCAACTCAAGTGACCGTCAGGGTTGATGGTCTTCCCCCATTACTAATCAGATAACCTTCCCAGAAGCATGGTAACATAAATCCGGTGTCTTGTTGTAGTGGACCTGGATGACACAAGTTGTATGGTGAACTCTCCCTCTTTGTCCAGCTCACCTCCCTCTGCCATGATTCTACTAGATAAGCCAAAGGAGACACAGACCCCTCCCAGCTCTCCCAGTGTCAACCTCACCCTTTCCAACCAGAGGTAGGTACATCTGCCTTAGATATTAGCAATATAAGGTTTTGTTGGTAGAACCACCACAATGTCTTTTGTAGGTAACAATTGTTTTGCAATAATATATATAAAGTTTTATGATGAGCACACTTTAAGTACAGCCATGTCTATAAATGATTATGAGATTTATTTGCCTACTTTATATCACTTACGGTATTAAGAGGGATCTTGGAGCATTACAGTCATAAACATATTTACCCATGCCTCTACATGATCAATAGGATAATTTGTTGCTCCATAACAAATGTTTACAAAGAAGTCCTTGTATGAATACAAGCATAGTGTTTAGACTACTTTTGATTCAGGCTTTGGTGAGATCAATGTCGTCACGTTTTATTACATCGACTAAGACATGGTGTCCCCTTACAAAACATCTATATGTCAGTTTGTCACCTTAATAGACAGTTTACTGTACCATGTATTTCAGTGAATCTTGATGAAAAAATTGAATCCTATTCTTTGATGTCCTTCTTGGTTGAATAAACAACACAATGTTAATATTATCACTGAATAGGTAAACAATGAATGAGTTAATTAGGGTCCCACACCAAGATACATATGCCCTGTCATAATCAGCCGTCAGTTTGTCTGTCCGTCGATTTGTCTATCCAATTTGACTTTCCACACAATAACTTGTGAATTTGATATGTGGCATTATATCCAGGAGACCTCGTATGGATGACCAGTAAAATCCTTCAATATTTACAAGAGTTATGGGACTTTGAAGGATGATGACTTACCATTTATTACTCTCCACATGATAGTAGTCTGATGCTCTCCATATTTGGTATATGGGTTCACATCAATAAAACCTCATAGGTGTTTGATAACCAGTGTCATCCATTACAATTGGCATGAGTTATGGGACTTTGAATGCCAAAAAAATAACTTTCACCTTTTGGTTAGTCAGAAGAAGTGTTTTTTTTTTTTTTTTTTACAAATTTAACCCCTGTGACATTGAATAAAGATAGAGGTCATTTCTTTTTGTTTTACATCCCAGCAACCCTCCAGCCAAATATCATAACGTTCAGTATGTAGTATTGTTCATTAATCATTATAAAAAATCATTTTGCTTGTGTTTTCAGTCAGGGAAGCACCAGTAGCCCGTCTGGTCTGGGAGAGCTTATGGAGCTACAGGTTGATTACTGGACAGCCACCAACAAACCTGACAGCTCAGAAAAAACAGACAAAGCCAGTAAAAAGGACAGCAATAAGTCCTCCCTCAAAAGTACCTTCCGATCCCTCCAGGTCCAACGAGTCACACAGCCACCCATTTCACCTGGCGACAGCCAATCAGCATGCTTCTCGATGGTCGTGGTTACCAGGGAGAAAAAGCAAAAGAGTTAGTGTGTTTCTCAATCCATGTTACTTTACATATCTGCCAATACAAAATTGTCAATACATTTTAAGCCTTCAATAAGTTTAACTGAACAATAAAGACATGAATGGATGCATGTATTTTGAAAATAATTTAAGGCCAGGGTTAACAATTTTTTTTTTTAATTTATCAAAATGATTATAAAACTTATTACACCCACAAAGTACTGAACCAAATTATGTGTTATCATTCTGATCATTTTCATATTTTAAAGTATATTAGTTAAACAATAAGATTTTGATATATTTTTGCTGAGTATATCATGATACAGACTGTAGCATCAGATTGAGGTGATTATGTATGTTAGCACGTCTGATTCATTGTTTTATTTGTCATTTTAGTCATGAGGCTTGGTAAGAAGGCCAAGGAGATTGAGTCGAAAAGCCAGGTTGTGGAGGGAATCAATAGACTTATATGTACATCCAAAAGTCAGAATTATTCACTCAGAGGTGAATATTTCAGTTTCTTATACAAATCACACCAATAGCCTGATAGATTGAAATTTTCTGCAGAATAAACAGTGAAAGATGAACCAGTCAAGTATAATAAATATGAACCAGTCTGAGAAATACAAGATGAACCAGTCAAGTATAATAAATATGAACCAGTCTGAGAAATACAAGATGAACCAGTCAAGTATAATAAATATGAACCAGTCTGAGAAATACAAGATGAACCAGTCAAGTATAATAAATATGAACCAGTCTGAGAAATACAAGATGAACCAGTCAAAAGCAATATGAGCCATTAAAGTAATGTGAGATTAACCAGTGTTAGTATCTAGAATATGACCCACTCTTATATAATAGTTACTTGTCTAAGTTACATACTATTAACCAGTCATAGTAAAGTAATATGAACCAGTTGGAGCAGTATAAGATAAACCAATCACGATAATTGTATGTCTCTGTTCACAGTGATGGTGGACGGTACAGAGTGGAGAGGAATCAAGTTCTTCCAGTTATCGTCACAATGGCAAACACATATCAAATCGTTCCCTGTGGTTGTCTTCTGTAATGCTGAGATCCTTTGAACCTACGTCACCTTTTTTCCAAGGTTATCAGGATATATCCCAATGTTGTGTGGATGTCCAAATGTTTTTGTAATTCCAAGGTTGTTTTAACGACCAAGGTCAGTTTATTTTAATGGACAGGTGCAATACCTGGTGACCGTGCCTGTGCTTAAGTAAATACGAAAACAACATAGCGGGGCTTCCTTCACCATGGTTACCACAGTAACCAAGAGCTTTAACACAGACAAAACGGTCTCCAATATGACTTTGCTTTAACTCTGTCAGTGTAGGACAGTGAAATGGAGCGAGACCATCTACCAGTAGACAATGCTTTCTCCAGGATTTGTATGATAAACTTTTTAATGTTGTATGGGGTGGGCTGGGTACGGTCGGCCAGTAAGGGTCCAGATTGCCAAATGTTTATTGTGATAGTGCTTCTGTGTGTCCTGTAGATAAATGTTTATTTATGATGCCCAATGGTTGTATTGTAGAACCAGTCTCTGTAACAATGTGTTACCCTTTGTCCATACCAATGGTATCATATCAACTTTAAGGTCCCCGGTATAGTCTGGCTGTGATTTATATGATTTCTTTCTCATTTGATACCCTGTTTTTGTGATTCATTCTATTTATAATTCTTTGCATATATTACCTGTCTGACCTGGGTTGGTACATCAGATTTCTTTAGAGACTTCTACAGAGAAACAACACCGCTGTTGGTATATAAGGTATCTACAGAGAAACAACACCACTGTTGGTGTATAAGGTCTCTACAGAGAAACAACACCACTGTTGATATAAGGTCTCTACAGAGAAACAACACCACTGTTGGTATATAAGGTTTCTACAGAGAAACAACACCACTTGTTATATAAGGTTTCTACAGAGAAACAACACCACTGTTGGTATATAAGGTCTCTACAGAGAAACAACACCACTGTTGGTGTATAAGGTCTCTACAGAGAAACAACACCACTGTTGGTATATAAGGTCTCTACAGAGAAACAACACCACTGTTGGTATATAAGGTCTCTACAGAGAAACAACACCACTTGTTATATAAGGTCTCTACAGAGAAACAACACCACTGTTGGTGTATAAGGTCTCTACAGAGAAACAACACCACTATTGGTATATAAGGTCTCTACAGAGAAACAACACCACTGTTGGTGTATAAGGTCTCTACAGAGAAACAACACCACTGTTGGTATATAAGGTCTCTTTCTGTGTTTATCTGTTGTTTACCGTAGATCTGATGTTTTCTGATGACACCTTCAGTTCCTTTTGCACTTTCCTGTGCTAAGTTTCCTTTACAAAGATTTTATTTTTCTATTTAGCAGTTGTCCACTTTTTGTATTTTTCCCAATTTCTTTGACGTGTTGAAGTGCTATGTTAATAAAAGTATGATGATGGTAAAACGTCCCTTGAAATTGTGATGTTATACCACTTAAGTGCAGAAAAATAAAGCATTATACAGTCTACTGACTTAATCTGACTGATGGTTTGCCTACCTTAGAACTATGTACCAATCTTAATACTGAATTCCCTTCTGTATTGTGTTTCCAATATATCAAGAATATATCACAATAGTATGTATCATTAAGATACGAAGTTCAGGTCGACCATAAACAAAGGTGTAAATAGTGTGAAGACATGTTACAATTTTTATATGATATGAGGTACGAGTAATCCTTTGATATTTAAACTCTTTTAAGTTAGCTGACTTATTTATGTCGGTGTTCTCACAATCATTATTTTCCAATGTACATGTATTGCATTGGTCACAGTATTAATTTCCATTATGTTCTGTTTTGTAAACATGTACTTGTTGTAACACACACTCTCCATCAAATATCTTTCAAGTTTCAGGTACATGTGATTTGTTTGAACTTTTGAACTTCAGCAAAAACTTATTTGCTGTATATATATATATATATTATTCATGTTGTTTGTGTCTGTCCATCAGTTTGTAGATAATTAGTGCAATTCTTCTTTACTTATGTACACTTCTACTTTTTAATGGTGAAGGTTTCTCTCAGACTACATCACAGTGACTTTTATAACTACACAAAACAACATATGAAAATCATTTCTGAACAGTTTATTCAATTTTTCATTTCCATGCAGGTTCACCAAACATTAGCATCCTGTCACATCAGTTGGTTGTGTTTTATGTTGTTATCAAGGCCCGTTCAGCCAAAAGGAAAAGCAGTTTCTAGAATTTTCGGGTTTTTTTTATTCGTACAGATTCTCCAATGGTAATCTGCATGTATGGTGTTATCTAGGATTCAATGTCTAAGACACTCAGGTCTGATTGACCAACATCTTCTGTAGTATGATGTAGAGAATTTTCACTCTCTTTCACGTGGAAACTTGTCACAAACAAAAAGTGCTTGTGAATTTCTATTTTGGAGCAAGGTTTTTTGCCCATCTACTGACTGCTTTTTTTTTTTTTTTTTTAACTTTTTGATGCAATATTCTGGATAGGGAATACCTCCACTGGAATCACATGATACATGTTTTCTTAGTCTCTGGGGATTCACTTGATTCTGTTGCAATATATTGAGAGTTAGATTGTATTTCTATTGATGGATCAGAACACTACTGAACAATTGAAAGATGAGTTTAAAATTTGTAAAAGTCTCTGGACAAGTTGTCTGCAGTGCAACTAAATTTGTACTCTTATATCCAAATACTACATAACAGAAGGATGTTTTCCTTGTTGGTAATGATAGACAGAGTCCAAATTGGGGAAATATTAGTGTATATGCAAGTATTATGAGAGTGTTTTGAATTGTTAATGTTAGTAGACTTTTGGGAATTTGATAATACATTATTCTTTCCTGACCTGAAATTAAGCTTCAGGTCTTTTGTAGTTTTAGTAATAGTTTCATTTAACTATAGATGTGATTACTAAGGGTTAGTTATTTTAATGCTATGTGATGTGTTTGTTTTTCTATAGTTTAATTGCTCTAATGATTACTAGACATTCATCCTTGTATGACCACCTTTTTGTATCGATTACATTTACCATAGTCTGACTTGAACTTAACTTGAACATCACCAGTTACAGAAGAAAACAAATAAAGTATGACCAGGTTCTTTTTACTTTGTATATTAGACAAATTATTTTGTATCTGGTCCTTTATGTTTATCATGTACATTAAAAAAGAGACCACATTTATGAGAAGCAGATTCTGCCAACTTTTTCTTTAAAGGAAGGAACTTTCTTTTTCCAAAATTACAACATACTGGCCTAAATTTTGATGAGGTGGGGTTTACCATCAAATAATGTTCCATAACCATGAGAAACATAATATTGCAATACAGTTATAATCAAACTTAGATACGAGGGAGGGGGTGGGGATTTACTAAGTGATATTTAAATAGTGTTCAAATACTGGTGCAATGATTGTTTGTTAGTATTAACAGCTTCTAGATATTGATCAGGAGTGACCAGTACTGTGACATTGATCAGAGTGACCAGTACTGTGACATCGATCAGAGTGACCAGTACTGTGACATTGATCAGGAGTGACCAGTACTGTGACATTGATAAGAGTGACCAGTACTGTGACATTGATCAGAGTGACCAGTACCGTGACATTGATCAGAGTGACCAGTACCGTGACATTGATAAGAGTGACCAGTACTGTGACATTGATAAGAGTGACCAGTACCGTGACATTGATCAGAGTGACCAGTACTGTGACATTGATAAGAGTGACCAGTACTGTGACATTGATAAGAGTGACCAGTACTGTGACATTGATAAGAGTGACCAGTACCGTGACATTGATCAGAGTGACCAGTACTGTGACATTGATAAGAGTGACCAGTACCGTGACATTGATCAGAGTGACCAGTACCGTGACATTGATCAGAGTGACCAGTACTGTGACATTGATAAGAGTGACCAGTACCGTGACATTGATCAGAGTGACCAGTACCGTGACATTGATCAGAGTGACCAGTACCGTGACATTGATCAGAGTGACCAGTACTGTGACATCGATCAGAGTGACCAGTACGGTGACATCGATCAGAGTGACCAGTACTGTGACATTGATAAGAGTGACCAGTACCATGACATTGATAAGAGTGACCAGTACTGTGACATTGATAAGAGTGACCAGTACTGTGACATTGATAAGAGTGACCAGTACTGTGACATTGATAAGAGTGACCAGTACTGTGACATTGATAAGAGTGACCAGTACCGTGACATTGATCAGAGTGACCAGTACTGTGACATTGATCAGAGTGACCAGTACTGTGACATTGATCAGAGTGACCAGTACTGTGACATTGATAAGAGTGACCAGTACCGTGACATTGATAAGAGTGACCAGTACTGTGACATTGATCAGGAGTGACCAGTACTGTGATATCGATCAGAGTGACCAGTACTGTGACATTGATCAGTGACCAGTACTGTGATGTTGATAAGAGTGACCAGTACCGTGACATTGATCAGAGTGACCAGTACCGTGACATTGATCAGAGTGACCAGTACTGTGACATTGATCAGAGTGACCAGTACTGTGACATTGATCAGAGTGACCAGTACTGTGACATTGATCAGAGTGACCAGTACTGTGACATTGATAAGAGTGACCAGTACTGTGACATTGATCAGAGTGACCAGTACTGTGACATTGATCAGAGTGACCAGTACTGTGACATTGATCAGAGTGACCAGTACTGTGACATCGATCAGAGTGACCAGTACTGTGACATTGATAAGAGTGACCAGTACCATGACATTGATAAGAGTGACCAGTACTGTGACATTGATAAGAGTGACCAGTACCATGACATTGATAAGAGTGACCAGTACTGTGACATTGATCAGAGTGACCAGTACTGTGACATTGATAAGAGTGACCAGTACTGTGACATTGATCAGAGTGACCAGTACCGTGACATTGATCAGAGTGACCAGTACTGTGACATTGATCAGAGTGACCAGTACTGTGACATTGATCAGAGTGACCAGTACTGTGACATTGATCAGAGTGACCAGTACTGTGACATTGATCAGAGTGACCAGTACTGTGACATTGATCAGAGTGACCAGTACTGTGACATTGATCAGAGTGACCAGTACTGTGACATTGATAAGAGTGACCAGTACCGTGACATTGATAAGAGTGACCAGTACTGTGACATTGATCAGGAGTGACCAGTACTGTGATATCGATCAGAGTGACCAGTACTGTGACATTGATCAGTGACCAGTACTGTGATGTTGATAAGAGAGACCAGTACCGTGACATTGATCAGAGTGACCAGTACTGTGACATCAATCAGAGTGACCAGTACTGTGACATTGATAAGAGTGACCAGTACCATGACATTGATAAGAGTGACCAGTACTGTGACATTGATCAGGAGTGACCAGTACTGTGATATCGATCAGAGTGACCAGTACTGTGACATTGATCAGTGACCAGTACTGTGATGTTGATAAGAGTGACCAGTACTGTGACATTGATCAGAGTGACCAGTACTGTGACATTGATAAGAGTGACCAGTACTGTGATGTTGATCAGGGTGACCAGTACCGTGACATTGATAAGAGTGACCAGTAATGTGATGTTGATCAGAGTGACCAGCATGGTGATGTTGATCAGAGTGACCAGCATGGTGATGTTGATCAGGGTGACCAGCATGGTGATGTTGATCAGAGTGACCAGTACCGTGACATTGATAAGAGTGACCAGTAATGTGACGTTGATCAGAGTGACCAGCATGGTGATGTTGATCAGAGTGACCAGTACCGTGACATTGATCAGAGTGACCAGTACTGTGACATTGATAAGAGTGACCAGTACTGTGATGTTGATAAGAGTGACCAGTACTGTGATGTTGATAAGAGTGACCAGCATGGTGATGTTGATCAGAGTGACCAGCATGGTGATGTTGATCAGGGTGACCAGCATGGTGATGTTGATCAGAGTGACCAGTACCGTGACATTGATAAGAGTGACCAGTAATGTGATGTTGATCAGAGTGACCAGCATGGTGATGTTGATCAGAGTGACCAGCATGGTGATGTTGATCAGAGTGACCAGTACCGTGACATTGATCAGAGTGACCAGTACTGTGACATTGATAAGAGTGACCAGTACTGTGATGTTGATAAGAGTGACCAGTACTGTGATGTTGATAAGAGTGACCAGCATGGTGATGTTGATCAGAGTGACCAGCATGGTGATGTTGATCAGAGTGACCAGTACCGTGACATTGATCAGAGTGACCAGTATTGTGACGATGAACATAGTGACTAGTATTGTGACGGTGACCAGTATGGTGACGATGAACAGAGTGACTAGCACTGTGATGGTGACCAGTATTGTGATGGTGACCAGTATTGTGACAATGAACAGTGACTACCAGGTAGTACCCACGAAAGTTCTGTTGATTGTTGATAGTTTTATTTATTTCCCTATTATAGATTGTGTTTTTATGCCTATATTTGTAGCAGATTTGTTTGTATTGTTGTGATCTTGCCCGAATACCAAAATAGACTGTCAGTATTGCCCCTGTTCCCACCCTTCCTATAATCCACCATAGGATCAATAGGTAATGGTGCTATATTTGGGTATTATTTTATCCCAGATTAACAAGGCCATTCTTGTTGCGAGATTTGAACTTCTTGTTATTTAATGCTATCAATAGGTTGTTGTTTCTCTTTGTCCTGATGTTTGAAATCTGATCATGTTAAGTAGGCAACATTTGATTTCAGACTGTAAACATATTTTCCGAACTTTCAGATCTGTATTAAAATGTTCTGTACATAGGAAAACTCCCTTCAGGTAGATGATGTTAAGTTAAATAACCATAATAAAGTAATGAGAAACCAAATGGCCTTTGTTCGCTGCTTTGGTGTGGCATCTGTCGTCACTTTATCCTTTGAATGACTTCAGTTCAATAAACTGGAGGCATTTTCTTGGTAGCTGGCCAATAAAATACTTGGATGAAGGAGTTTTAAATTCATTCAAATAATTGACTTTGACCCATTTCATGGTCACAGTGAATAAATGTCAAAACCTTTACACATATTTTCCAGGAAAACCAAAAGGCCCAGGGTCTGATATCTTAACAAGTGGTATATTGGACAAACAAGGTATAAATCTTCTCTTCATAGGCTTCATAGGAAAGCAGGTGAACGATAAAGGCTGTTTGGGCTTGTGATGTCATCGGCCACAGCTTGTGTTGCATGGGTCCTTCGTTGTCACTATAATGTATCTAGTGTGCCCGATTCACTCTCCAGTGGTGTCAGTTATCATCATTTAGTCCCAGTTTTCAATTTGTAAAAACAATTTCCCTTGTAAGGGATACATGAGTGGTTTGTGTTAATTAACTGACTTTATTGTGTTGACTGACGTTTATCAGATTTTGTTGCAGTAGTTATATAGATTGGAACTAGTCACTAGAGACGTCCAGTATATGACTAGTCAGAGTATTAGATAAAAGTGATGTGTTTGCTCCAGATAACCCTTAACTGACTTATGACAGGGGTACAACATAAAACAACACAAATTTAACAGGTAACCTACACCCTGCCATTTGCCATGTATTGTTAACAATGAAAGTAATTCAACAAAAAAGATCAAATATCTATGTTGGAATTCAAGGAACAGAAAATGTATTTGTTTTAGTTCTAACATCTGGAGTTTCCTTGAGGAGAGACTGCTTATATTTAAAACTTTAAAGCTGCAGAGAAATGTGTATGAAGATCCCCCTTAGACTTCCGTCTTTAAAAAGATGAGATTTGTAAAATTATGTCTATTTTAGAAGATTAATTCTAAGATTGGAAACAAAAGTGGGAGTCTCCCTCCTAAATTGTACAGAAAATGTGATAGCCCTAGATTTCTGGGAAATTATTGGTTCACTTTTTAAAATTGTTCATATGTCTTAAAAAGTGCTTTTATTTTTGCAGTTTTAATTAATTTTAACAGTGCTTTATTTAAAGGAATACAGAAAACATAACAAAATGCTACAGATATGACAACTCCTAATTTAGGACATGGTTGCAGTTTTCAGCTGACCAATGGTTTTGGTTTTCTGAGGGACTTATTCTCCTGATACAATATTACTTTCTGTGTAAAGGTATCTCGTCAAGAGTTCTTGTTATCTAGTTACCAAGGGACATAGGAAAAACAGTTCCCCATTCCCAATTTCAAGTTAGCCAAGGAGTTAGGAAAAGGGTTACCCAGTTTCTAGTTAGCCAAGGAGTTAGGAAAAGGGTTACCCAATTTCTAGTTAGCCAAGGAGTTAGGAAAAGGGTTACCCAATTTCTAGTTAGCCAAGGAGTTAGGAAAAGGGTTACCCAATTTCTAGTTAGCCAAGGAGTTAGGAAAAGGGTTACCCAATTTCTAGTTAGCCAAGGAGTTAGGAAAAGGGTTACCCAATTTCTAGTTAGCCAAGGAGTTAGGAAAAGGGTTACCCAATTTCTAGTTAGTCAAGGAGTTAGGAAAAGGGTTACCCAATTTCTAGTTAGCCAAGGAGTTAGGAAAAGGGTTACCCAATTTCTAGTTAGCCAAGGAGTTAGGAAAAGGGTTACCCAATTTCTAGTTAGCCAAGGAGTTAGGAAAAGGGTTACCCAATTTCTAGTTAGCCAGAGAATTAGAATAAACAGTTCCCTGTTTTCTTGTTAGTCAAGGAGTTAGGAAAGTTACCCGTTTTCTAGTTAGCCAGGGGGTTAGGAAAGTTACCCGTTTTCTAGTTAGTCAAGGAGTTAGGAAAGTTACCCGTTTTCTAGTTTGTCAAGGAGTTAGGATATTGAAGAGTACCTTGAGACTTCTTCACCGTATGTTTATTTGCAATATCACTATAAATGATAAGTATTTTAACAGAATTGCTCAAATATTTATCATTATGAGCATAATACAATACAATTGTTAATGCTATGTACAACTTTGCAACTTGACAGCATTAATTGTATGACCGTATTAGTCTGATATCATTTTACTTGTAATATAACATCAGGTCAGCAGATGTGGTGATGACAATGACATGTGATAACTTACTAATGGTCTACTACACATTTTTACTGATATGTTAACTGCTGTATATACAAATAGTCTCCCCAGTAATAACACTTCACTTAAATACAAATACCGTTTCTGTGTTTAGAGTTGTCTAATGTAGTTAACATTACATGTGCTTTTCAGGATGTTCAGATCCTTAAATTATTTTATGTTCTGAAATCCTGTCATACAACACATCTGATTCAGCCATACAACACGTCGGATCCAGCCTACAATAGGTCAGATTTTGTCATAAACACATCGGACTCAGTTACACAACACATCAGACTCGGTTACACAATACATCAGACATAGTCACACAACACATCAGACTCAGTCAAACAGCACATCAGACTCAGTCACACGACACATCAGACTCAGTCACACACACATCAGGCTCAGTCACACGACACATCAGACTCAGTCACACACACATCAGGCTCAGTCACACAGCACATCAGGCTCACTCACACAACACATCAGACTCAGTCACACAACACATCAGACTCAGTCACACAACACATCAGACTCAGCTACACAACACATCAGGGTTAGTAACACAACACATGAGGGTTAGTTACACACTTATCAGACAAAGTCACACACACATCAGGCTCAGTCACACGACACATCAGACTCAGTCACACACACATCAGGCTCAGTCACACAACACATCAGACTCAGTCACACAACACATCACTCAGTCACACAGCACATCAGACTCAGTCACACGACACATCAGACTCAGTCACACACACATCAGGCTCAGTCACACGACACATCAGACTCAGTCACACACACATCAGGCTCAGTCACACAGCACATCAGGCTCACTCACACAACACATCAGACTCAGTCACACAACACATCAGACTCAGTCACACAACACATCAGACTCAGCTACACAACACATCAGGGTTAGTAACACAACACATGAGGGTTAGTTACACACTTATCGGACTAAGTCACACACACATCAGGCTCAGTCACACGACACATCAGACTCAGTCACACACACATCAGGCTCAGTCACACAACACATCAGACTCAGTCACACAACACATCACTCAGTCACACAACACATCAGACTTTGATGCTTTCCCTGCTAGATCAATGGACTTTTAGTTAAGGATTAGTTTTATTGTGTGATACATTACTATCAGGAACCTGATAATGAATTAAGTACAATGTTAATTACAATGAAGAAACAGGTGATGTAACTTATGGTAGTTTTTTATTGTCCATTGTTTCTGTGATAATTTATAAATAATATCACTGCTGCTGCAATGTTTTGGTATTAAACTTTATGAACATGCTTTTTAGAGAAATCTTTTTTAGGGGAAAAATTGAATTGTACCTTAATTTTAATTCATGTCATTATGATATGTGTGTGCTAACTCCCACATGCAATCCTCTTGTTCCAAAGGTGTAATGGTATTAGTACTGAACAAAGTATTGATTTAAGTGATTTGTTTTAATATTGTCTCATGCTGTCTACCTGTCCATGACCTTTGTATAAAAGTTCATGGTGATGTCATTAATAAGTAAAGGTGCAGACCTATTTGTAAGTACTGCAGGCCAGAGATCCTGGCTTTTGTTATACCATATATGGACTGATTCATGTCAAAAATTTTAAAAAATGAACAATAAAGTATCAGTCATAATTTTGCTGTTTTTGTTGTTACAGATTTTTCCTTTTCCTGTCTCCACAGCATTTAATGGTGCTTCAATTCCATTGTGTTTGTATACAAACTCCTGTCCTGCTGAAATATGAAGCACAGCACCTCTGTGAGCAGTAGAGGTGAAGCTTGGTATTCAAAACTGTTTAAAATATCTCCTTTCCGACTTTTGTATGGAATTTGGTCCAACACCATTATGATATGAAAAATCTTCAGAGGTAGCTTTGAGTTACAATAACCATTACCTTTGAACTCTAAAAAACTCTACAAAAATGACTAATTAAAAATTATATGATATCTGATCCAAAATCCGTTGATTTGAACAAGGTAAGACACTTGATATGATTGTCAATGCCATCATCCCTTTTCCTCACCATAGAAATATATGTAACCTATGAATGCCAGAACTCATTCCCTCCATTTTAGCAGATTCTGGTTATGGAAGATTACTGGACCAAATACAATACTTCCTTGACAATTACTTTGATGGACGGCAAATCGGTACAAATATTTACTCCACAGTGACTTTACTGGTAGACCAATTCAAACATTTCCTTGACAAAGACATTAAAGGATATTAATTCACTACAAATCTTACATGTATTTATATATAAATATATATATTTATTAAGGATGATTTACAAATAAAAACATCAATTTGACAAAGATTTTAATGGAACACAAATGGATACAAACATCTACTTGACAGTGATTTTAATAGCATTTTTGTCGGACACTGTATACGAGTCCCATCTTTTCTCTGGGTCATATGGCTCCCATCGACTCGCCGGAAAAATGTGCTTATTTCTGTCATACCAACTCCGCAGACACACTTTACCCGCATGAGATTCGTCCTTTTCCACTGTTGCATCACTAATAATCCTTACATCTGCATGAACATCAAAACTAAACAATGGGCCACTCTTGCCGCGGGCTTTAGTGACAATAAAGTCGTAGAAACTGTAATGATGTGGAATAATTAAGTCCTCTTTGACATACATGAGCTGATCAACAGTCACACACTTGAGGTCGTTGAACTCTTTCCGTAGTGTCTCCAGACATTTTTGTAGGAACTGCTGCATTGTGTTTCCCTTCCTCATCCTCACCTGACGCCGATGTCCAGACCCATCCCAGTAACTATATGTGATGTCTATTTCCTCATTCTTTAACTTCTCCTGTTTTCCAACCCATTCTTGTTGTAGTTGTTCTCTATAATCAAGAAAAAACATTAAATGAAAAACTGTCAATTTTGATGAAACGTTTTTTACATGAGACTGAAAATAACTAAACACCTAACTTCTGATATTTAATCTGGTTGATACTGACAAAAAACGTTATTTTTAAATAATAAAGACCTAGAATCAAAATTTTCATTATAAAGTAATGTTTATTCTGTTAATTCAAATGTTTTCCTGTCGACAAAGTCCTTGTTTCTATCATCAGCAACAGGTGAATGAGGTCCACAGTCTACAAGGACCATTACAAAGCATGAGGTCCTCCGGTTCTAATATTACAGAAGGACTATGACAAGAGGTCCAGGGACCTTTACAGTCTACAAGGACCATTACAAAGCATGAGGTCCTCCAGTTCTAATATTACAGAAGGACTATGACAAGAGGTCCAGGGACCTTTACTGTCTACAAGGACCATTAACAGTCAAGAGGCCCTGGGACTTTTAATAGATTATAAGGATCATTAAAAGTGGACCAGAAACCATAAAAACTTATGAGGACCATAACAAGTGGCCCAGAGACCAAATAATTCAGAAGGTACATCACAAGAGGCCCAGGAAATTGATAGTTTATAAGGAACATAAAATGAGGCCCGAACCCTAACAATTTATGACCATTACAGAGGCCCAAGGATTTTGGGAGTTTAAAAGGACCGTAACAGGCTTAAATATACAGAAAGTTTAAAATTACAATTACTGGAGGCCACGGGACCTAAACAGAAAGTGACCAGCTAAATATGATATTCCATCCTGGAGTAGGTCTTACCTAAGTTTGTTTTCCTCTTCTTCTCGATCTCTGTCTGGTAAAAAACTGGTGTCCACATCAGGGTCCTTCCCTGTCAGAGAAAAGTCCACATGCTATAACAGTACTGATTCATATCATACAATGTGCAATACAGCATATCTGACCGTGGTGTCATAATATATAGAACTTATATACCAAATCTATCTATCCTCAGTGTTACTATATATAGCCCTAATATACCAAGTCTATCTATCCCCAGTGTTACTATATATAATCCTAATATACCAAGTCTATCTAACCCCAGTGTTACTATATATAGCACTAATACACCAAGTCTATCTAACCCCAGTGTTACTATATATAACCCTAATATACCAAGTCTATCTAACCCCAGTGTTACTATATATAGCCCTAATATACCAAGTCTATCTAACCCCAGTGTTACTATATATAGCCCTAATATACCAAGTCTATCTATTCCCAGTGTTACTATATATAGCCCTAATATACCAAGTCTATCTAACCCCAGTGTTACTGTATATAGCCCTAATATACCAAGTCTATCTATCCCCAGTGTTACTATATATAGCCCTAATATACCAAGTCTATCTATCCCCAGTGTTACTAAATATAGCCCTAATATACCAAGTCTTTCTAACCCCAGTGTTACTAAATATCCCCCTAGGGTATCAGAGCTATCTGACCTCAGTGTTACTATAAATGACCTAAGGTATCAGGACTATCTGACCTCAGTGTTACTATATATTACCCTAAGGCATCAGGACTAATTGACCTCAGTGTTACTATATATAACCTAAGGTATCAGGACTAACTGACCTCAGTGTTACTATATATAACCTAAGGTATCAGGACTAACTGACCTCAGTGTTACTATATATTACCCTAAGGTATCAGGACTAACTGACCTCAGTGTTACTATATATTACCTAAGGTATCAGGACTATCTGACCTCAGTGTTACTATATATGACCTAAGGTATCAAGACTATCTGACCTCAGTGTTACTCTATATGACCTCAGGTATCAGGACTATCTGACCTCAGTGTTACTATATATGACCTAAGGTATCAGGACTATCTGACCTCAGTGTTACTATACATGACCTAAGGTATCAGGACTATCTGAACTCAGTGTTACTTAATATGACCTAAGGTATCAGGACTATCTGACCTCAGTGTTACTATATATGATCTAAGGTATCAGGACTATCTGACCTCAGTGTTACTATATATACACTAGGATACACATTATTTACCAAGTCTTTTCTTTTTCCCTTTTTCAGTTTCTTTTGTTTTTATTTCTTCTAATTTTTCCATCTTTTCATCTTCATCCTCCTCCTCTTCTTCATCATCATGAGGATCAAAGGAAAGCATAGCCATCTGGAAAGATGAAATTTGACAGGGTGGTATCTCTATCCGACATTGGTGCATAAATTAACCTTCACATGTTAAAATGAGAACATTATATTATGAGATCACAATCAAAATAATGTTTGCCTGCTCATGACAATCTCTGTCAGTAACTGACTCCATCTCTCGAATAAAACAAATTCCTTAAATTTGAGGTATACCATACTTTTTTTTTCTGATCTTTCCAAACATAGCCCTTCTAAACCCTGAGGTAGAATATCCATTTCCCCTAAACCAATGGTTGAATCTACTAATCCTAAACCACTACTAGAACCTGTCCTTTATACCTTCCTTTGTTCTTTCTTTTTCCTATCTTTCTTCTGTTGATCCAACAGTTGAGCCTCTGAGTGTTTCTTCGCCAGCTGCTTTTCTCTCTTCTTAATGACATCTTCTTGTTTAGCTCGCATCTCATCAAGGGTGACCAGACCTATAAATAAAAGTATGAAATCTTACACCACACGGGACTGTAATACTAAAGTACTGGTACCTTAAGTCAAGTGTGACCATATCTACAATATACAGGTACCTTAAATCAGGTGTGACCACACCTATGATGTACATGTACCTTAAATCAATCCTCTATACCTCTACACTATCTAGGTTCAAAACATCCTACTCCATCTCTATTCATAATATAATTCTACATCCCTACAATTAAACTCTACTTCAGCAGTGATGTATTTCTACATCCCTACAATGAAACTACTTCAGCAGTGATGTATTTCTACATCCCTACAATGAAACTACTTCAGCAGTGATGTATTTCTACATCCCTACAATCAAACTCTACTTCAGCAGTGATGTATTTCTACATCCCTACAATCAAACTCTACTTCATCAGTGATGTATTTCTACATCCCTACAATCAAACTCTACTTCAGCAGTGATGTATTTCTACATCCCTACAATGAAACTACTTCAACAGTGATGTATTTCTACATCCCTACAATCAAACTCTACTTCAACAGTGATGTATTTCTACATCCCTACAATTAAACTCTAATTCAGCAGTGATGTATTTCTACATCCCTACAATTAAACTCTACTTCAGCAGTGATGTATTTCTACATCCCTACAATTAAACTCTACTTCAGCAGTGATGTATTTCTACATCCCTACAATTAAATTCTACTTCAGCAGTGATGTATTTCTACATCCCTACAATTAAACTCTAACTCAGCAGTGATGTATTTCTACATCCCTACAATTAAACTCTACTTCAGCAGTGATGTATTTCTACATCCCTACAATTAAATTCTACTTCAGCAGTGATGTATTTCTACATCCCTACAATTAAACTCTAACTCAGCAGTGATGTATTTCTACATCCCTATAATTAAACTGTACTTCAGCAGTGATGTATTTCTACATCCCTACAATGAAACTACTTAAGCAGTGATGTATTTCTACATCCCTATAATTAAACTGTACTTCAGCAGTGATGTATTTCTACAGCCCTACAATTAAACTCTACTTCAGCAGTGATGTATTTTCACATCCCTACATGCATTTCTCCACCTTCGTCAGAATCAGATCAATAACAATGTTTACCAATAGTGTTTGACTTTAACTGCTGTTCTATAGCATCATAGTGTGTTGCAAATTTGTTCTGTATGCTGCCAATCTTTAATTCTTCTTCAATTTTCTTCTTCTTTATCTCCATTTCTTCCTGTTCCTTCTGTCGTTTCTTGATTAAGTTGGCAGCACGGCCTCCCTCGGACGCAGCACCTTTATACTGGGCCATGATTGCTGATGACACCACACCTTAATAGTCTATGTCTGTAATGTGAAATGGTGTTAATTAATATATAGAATTACAGCAGGAGGTAAGGAGTGAATCTGGGGCCACAGATATATATATATATTTTATTCATAAAATGTTAGTTACATTCCTTTGGCCCAGGAGTGATAAATATTTGTGACATTGCCCAGTTTTTGTCAAATTTGAAACAAATTCTTACAAACAGTGATTTTTTTTGTCCATAGCTCTATTGAAAGCCACTTTCAAATGACAATCTGTCATCCATTATACAGCATAATTCACCTATTCACTCCCAAGATTTTTTTCATAACGAATTCCAGCGTCAATTAATGGGGGAGCTTTCTGAAAATCTAAATCATTTACTGATGATCTACAGCAATAAGCTATTACCCTAAGGTATCAGGACTATCTGACCTCAGTGTTACTATATATGACCTAAGGTATCAGGCCCCACTTGTATAAAACATCTCAACTTGAGATTTCCTCAAGCCCAGATTTTCCTCAGCTAATAATAATATCTCCTTGAAAATATCTTGCATGAAGACATCCTAGCCGATGACTTCCTCCTGTTCCTTGAGAAAATTTTATACAAGCCGTTTTTGAGGAGATATCAACTGAGGAAAATCTCGATTTAAGGAAAACTCAAGTTGAGATGTTTTATACAAGTGGGGCCAGGACTATCTGACCTACTATATATACACTAGGGTACACATTATTTACCAAGTCTTTTCTTTTTCCCTTTTTCAGTTTCATTAAAACACGATTTACATTCACAGAATCGAAGTTTATATCTTACCAGAATAACTTACAAACGTGTGCGCCTATGTTGATAGTGTAGTCGTTGTCTATCCAAACGTTACCAAACGTTCCCTTCCAAGCTGCGTAAATAGTTTGCGTTAAAGCGGAAGTTGTTGCAGGAAGTCCGTTTGCTTGCGCGTGCGCGATTTACATAGAAACAAAATGGAGTTGATGACGCGCCTGAAGCAGGCTTCGGATGACACAACTCCAGTAGATATTGCCAACAACTTAGAAACATTACAATTCGAAAGTGCTCTGTCTGCAGAGGAAACACAACTTCTTCATCTCCGTAACAGGACACATGCCATCACCGTGTCTTCATGTGCCCAAGCAACATATTTTGCAAGTGTCCTACATGAAGCAAGGTACTTGTTCACTTCGTAGCTAGAATGTATTCTCGTACAATAATCATATTAGTTTTAAGGTTTTGTATATTCCATCCCGAAGTTATAAAATGTTGTAAAACCCTCGATTGAACTTCAGGATATTCCACAATTTGCGAATTCTCACACACATACAAATGTAAAGCATCTCTAATCCTACATAAAAAGTCATTTGTTGCGACGATAGGTAGGGGTGTCTTTCTTGAGATGACACTGCAGGATTTTGGATCTAGCGGAGGGGAGAGGCTAATTATCATTGAATGGGTTGGAGACGTCTTAAATGTATGACCTTACACATTATCTTATGGTATGAAAAGGGCTATTGTGTAGAGGGTTGTCATCAGGTAGTATAGAGAGGATTATTGTCAGATTGTGTAGATACGGCTATTATCAGATTTTGTTGAAAGGGTTTTCATAAAATTTTGTAGATTGTGTTAACATCATATATTTTGGGTATAATTATTATCAGATGCTGTAGAGGGTTGTCATGAGATTTTTAGAGGGTTGTTAGCAGATGTTGTGAAGAGGGTTACCACAATATCATGTGGGTAGGGCTATTATCAGATGTTGTAGAAAGGGTTATCATTACGTTGTCTAGGTAGGGTTATTATCAGATAGGTTTGTCATCAGATTGTGTTGTGAGATAATCTAGGATGATATGCAGGTTGTTGTCAAAAATGGTTAAGAGAGGGTTATATGAATATTTCATCCTGTGTGAAGTAATAACCGTGGATAATGTGTAGTACAGATGATCATCGTCACATGGTGACGTGAGGGTTGTCATCAGATGGAGAAAAGAGAGACATCATAACATACTGAGAAAAGGGTTGACCTCAGATGGTGAAGAGAGGGTTAGCATCAGATGGTGAGGAGAAGTATGTCTTCAGATGGTGAGGAATGGATTGTCATCAGGTTGTGAGGAGAGAGTTGACATCAGATGTTCAGGGGAGGGTTGTCATCACACAGTGAAGAAAGGGCTGACATCTGATGGTGAAAAGAGGGATGTCATCACATTGTGAAGAGAGGGTTGTCATCAGGGGGTGAGGAGAAGGTTGTCATTAGATGTTGAGGAGAGAGTTGACATCAGGTGGTGAGGAGAGAGTTGACATAAGGTGGTGAGGAGAAAGTTGTCATCAGGTGGTGAGGAGAGGGTTGACATCAGACGGTGAGGAGAGAGTTGTCATCAGGTGTAGAGGAGAGGGTTGTTATCAGATGGTGAGGAGAGAGTTGACAACAGGTGTTGAGGAGAGAGTTGTCATCAGGTGGTGAGGAGAGGGTTGACATCAGATGGTGAGGAGAGAGTTGACATCAGGTGGTGTGGAGAGGATGCTCTTGAAGTTTGAAGTTTTTAAGTTTTAAGTTTTAAGTGGGTTTTCACCTTAGGACCATCCAACCATTTCTAATATGTTAAGTGTAAAGTGTGGAAAGGATTATGTATGGGTATTTAAGTGTCGTTTTTAAGGCATAATAGAAGTCTTAGGGAATTTTAAAGAAAGTAAAAGAAATTTTACTGGGATACATAGTTCAAGATATAACATTAAAAATAACCTATCTGTTACAGACAGTTGAAAAAACAGCTTAAAAGTCCACAGAAAAGAACTGCCAAGATATTACAGGATCGTGAACCTCGTGACCCACTGAAGGTTGGAATCATAGGATGTGGTCGTTTAGGGAGTCAGCTTGCTCATTGTCTGCTTACTTATGGAGATATGAACCCTAAAGACTTAAAAATATCTACAAGGCGACCGGAGACCCTTGGTATGTTTTTGTATTGTTCTAATTAATTTTGGTAAACAGCCAAGAGCACCTGTTTTTATATCAAACTTCCAGTAATTGTTGTCTATGAATTTAGCATGAACTCTTGACTAGTAACCTAATTGAATAATAGGCTATGATGTTAATTGAAATAAGTGACCTTGGCCAACTTTAGAAAAGTGCGAAGGCAATTTCTCCAGAATAGCTCAAGTCTCCAGTGTCACGATATTTGTCCAGGAGTTACATAGCTTTATAAATAACTGAGATTAAAAGTATTAAAAGTTTGGATAACCGCAAAATCCACGATGATCGTAATTTTAAAAAACTTAGTAATGAACTGTTATAAGGTGAAGTGTCTGAGGTAATGACTTTCGCTGATTCAAAAGTAGCATAAATATTTAAGATTACTAACTGATGAAATTTACAAATATCAATTATAGAGATTTAAAAGCAAAATTAATATCAATGATGTGTAGAGAAAATCACATTAAGTAATTTCAGTAAAGAAATTTACCAAATTTGATGAAATTCCATGATGTAAGCAATGCTTTCCCATTGGCTAAGATTTTTTCAAACATGCAATGGTACATTTGATTTAATGTAAATACATGTGAAATGTTTTACATACTACAAGACATAGAAAATACTCACACTGTCAGGTTGTATTATCTAGTTATTGGTAAATAGTACTGTCAACATTTAAAATCTTTATATTCCTTAATAAATTCAGTTAAAATATTATCTGATATTTTTTTTTTAAATTGTTTCAACAGAGTATTTAAGAAACAAAGGAGTGGACTGTGCCCATGACAACATTAAGTTGGCATCAACTTCCCATTTAATATTTCTATGTGTGCTTCCATCACACATTCAAACTGTCGCTGAAGAAATTTGTGAACATTTACCACGGGCATCTATAGTGTATTCCTTTGTCAGTACATACACTCCCAAGAGACTTAAACAACTGCTGGGTACCAGCAGTGTGATGAAGCCAGAGTATAGCTGGTCAGAGGAAAGTGAGAGGAATACATGGAATTGTAATATCAATGTAAACTCAGCCCTCGAGGATCCAGAGATTGTAGAAAAAACATGTCCCATTGGATACAGGAAAACAGGTGAGGTTATAAATTTGATCATTGCTGAAGCTGAAACTTACTGAAAAAAAAAAAAAAATCAAAACAACGTTACAGAATCAATTTTCATTTAACTGGTTTGGGAAATGATAAAAAGCAGGGAATGTTTAAGAAAAACTAATCAACTGCAATTGCCCACTTAAAATGGTTACTTCATTTACACAAACTAGGACCTTTTTATAAAAAATGTAATAGTGTTATACATTTTTAAGAGATTTTAATGTCTATTTCAGAATGTGTTGTGATGTGTGAAGAGAAATTAGCAGAGATTATCATATTTGCTTTTATCAACATGGTAACAACTCTACGTGTGAACAAGGAGGATGCTCTCAGTATCCTCCACATTGTCATGTTTGAGGATATCCCGGAGGACCACCTGCGTGAGGAGGACTTCATTAGGAGCTCACTTGACCAAACAGGGTATGGAACAATATGGGCATCACTCTCCAAACCATTTAAAACCAAATGAGTTTCACATATTTATGTATTAGTGAGAATAAGGAGTAATTTCTACAGGTCAGAACTTGGACTGCTATTAAATTATGAAATATAGTTGGTAATTAACCATAGATAATCTTCTGTTATTAATTTTACTACTTATCGATAACCAATACCATTTGTTACGACTGGACTGTGTTTTGTACTTTATCCCTTTAACAAGTTATAATAATAATAATAATTTAATTATTATTATACAACAAGTTATAATCTTTTACAGGATGTTTCCAAGGTTCAATCTGACCCAGCTGACAGAGGTAACAACATCTGTGCTCAAAAGAATCTCAACATGCGCACCCCTCAGAGCAGCATTTGTGAAAAAATATCTTGGAATATTTGACAGTTATGTGCAACAAAAAAATTATGAAATGTTAAATGGAACAATTTGACATGATTCTGACACTTCTGTGTTACTGTATGTGATGTGTCATTCTGAAATATTGTTATAATATCTACATTTTATATGATTAAATGTTATTTTTCTAATCTAACAGTTTTGTTCACTTTTTTGTGCAATGTCTCCCTTTGTCTGGGACCAGGTGTTAAGGAAGGACAAGCATTTCCTGCTCTACCCACAACACCCGCCAATTTGGTTTCTTCTGAGATATTTTTTCAGTGTTCTCTATTTCTCAATTAAGTGACACCTGAAGGATTATATAACTAAGAGGGAAGTCTCAGGTTAACAAATAAAATAGGCAATAATTTTGACCTATTACATATATACACATAAACTTAATATTACATATTTTCTGCTGTTGTTGAAGATTCGTGTTAAATCAAACACTTTAGGAGTTTTACCATTTATATTCAATCATTTCTTCTCCTTCCACTGAATATAGTAAGAAAGAAGAATTTCAGCAGATAAAAAATATGACATCATATCTTAGTGTTAAAGTAACTGTCACTTTACCGAGGCAAGATACAACAAAGGACATCCAACAATGGTGATAAATCATTCTTGCTTCCCCCAGGTACATCAAATTCTCTACCAGCAGAGATACAAATTCAGTACAAATGTGCATTAAAAGTATGTGACTTGATGTTTTAAAAGTTGTTAAATTCAAGGCTGCATTAAATTGATAGTGACTGAAGGTTACATTGGAATAAAAAGTTCACTTTGAACATTGTAACTGGAGGTTACATTATAACTAAAAGTTACATTGTGATTGTGTAACTGTGGGTTACATTGTAATTGTCTACCTGTGGGTAACATTGTGATTGTGTAACTGTGGGTTACATTGTAATTGTGTAACTGTGGGTTACATTGTAATTGTCTACTTGTGGGTAACATTGTGATTGTGTAACTGTGGGTTACATTGTAATTGTCTACTTGTGGGTAACATTGTGATTGTGTAAGTGTGGGTTACATTGTAATTGTCTACTTGTGGGTAACATTGTGATTGTGTGTGTTACATTGTGATTGTGTAACTGTGGGATACATTGTAATTGTCTACTTGTGGGTAACATTGTGATTGTGTAAGTGTGGGTTACATTGTAATTGTGTAACTGGGTAACATTGTAATTGTGTAACTGGGTAACATTATAACTGGTTTACATTTTAATGGTGTAACTAGGTTCAGACGGAAACTTGAATTATAAATTTTTTCGGCCTTGATAAAATTCTTGACTCTCCAAAATAAAAACAGTAAGCAACGAAATTTACGAAAAAGATGATCACAGATAAAGTTCCAATAATGCCCTAAAAGGACGTTTCTGACCGCAAATGGCAACAGCTTTTCCAATTTTGAAATTTCACCAACTTTGCAGTTCAATGTGCACAATCGACGACAGTATCATTCTATTCTACTGCTGAATCAACATTTATGAAATGTACATACTTTAAGTATAGCGATACATCTGTAAATAATTTGATAAAACTAATTTCCATTTATTAAACATTGTAGAAGTCTTGTTTCCTAGAGACAACTTTTTCAAACAGCTGTGACGCTTTTGACAGGAAGATGTTTGCCTGTCAAAGAGAATCGACATGCCCAGAACTCTGAACGTATGACGTTTTTACTATTAAATCTTGTCGCGTGTTCTTAAATGTACGTACTCCATTCTTTTTACATTTTTACTCTATATTTTTGCAACTTAAAATGTCACAAAGGTTATTCTGTTTCTTTACAGTTAATCTTTTGATCCGAAAAGTAAAACAACAACAAATGTCATATATTTCTCATCTGTATTTGATAAAAATAAAACAAATAAATAAACAAGCACGGAAGCTGTAGGTTACATAATCCAGTGTTGACTTTGGAGTCCTTATTGATATTTTCCACCCGCTTTGGCAGTCTGTCGTACGAAGCAGCACAACAGGTTTCTACGGATCCAGTCTTTCTTGCTGCGGGCTTTGGATGAACATGTCGTCTGCCCGTCGACTGAGGTGCCACTGCTGCCACCTATTGGACAAAGAATAAATCAAATTGACACATATAACATTAAAACGTGATATTTCACATAAACCTTCTTGATAGTAGATAATTTTCTCACCTTCTCTAGCAGTGACGATTTTCTTGGCTCCATTCTTGTTTCTCTAAAACAATCGTAAAAACAAATTATGTAGAAAGTGCCTTATTAATTATCCGTGTAATGAAAATGCCGAAATATAACTTTTGTATATTCTCTATTGTTTTTTAACTCTAATGAAGAAACTATAAGCTTCGTTGAAATCGGTTCAAAATAGTGACTTTCGTTTTGAATTTTGTTTTGTTTTAAAATGAAAGAACTTCTTTTTTCACTGACATTAGTATGTTTATTTTTGTCAGCACTAGATTGTGTATATTAAATGATATCCCAATAGTTGATCACAGACTCAGATTCGATCATGTTCTAACACGTGGTTCACAATGGTGATGATAAGCTAACCTTAAAAAGTATGTCAAACAGTCGTCCCAATACATTCTTTTTGCCGGATGTCTCGCTGAACTGACGTGTAGTCATGGTCTCATCAGCTGTTTTATAACAAGAATACGAATTAAATATCTGATTAAGTAATTAGAATATTTTTACTAAGATGAATTCAGACGATACAGCTCTGATAAAATGATGCGGAATTCCATTGATATCAATGAAAACGTATGATATATTTCTAGAACGATTCGCTCATTCATCGCAATTATTTGTTTAATATAAGACAGTCTGACGTCTTGTACTTATCTTACTCAGTAATGCCGTATAAGAAATAATAGGGTTTTCAATAATACCTTGGATGATGGCGGTGGTTATTTGAAGCAGATGGTCACTTCCGCTTCCGGCCACTTCTTGATTGATTCCCGCGTAACTAACCTCCGGTGAATTACTTCCTGTTGTGATGGTTGGTACTTCCGATGTTGTTTTGAACAGTCCTTCTATTGTTTTGTCAGAGGGTGATGTTTGACCATCGCAGATGGCGGTGTCTGATTGTCTAATGGTCAACGCGACTTTATCTCTTAATTCTTTATCAAAGTGTCCTACCCATTCCTTCATCTTATCATCGGTGGGGGAAGTTTTTCCATCTCGTATGGCGGTAACTGACTGTCCAATGGTCAGTTTCACAATATCATCCACCCCCATGTCAAGATCTCCAGCCATTTCCTCTTTAAAGATTTTGTCCATTGCGTTGTCTATTGCAGTATTTATCAAATCCCGCGCTATACGGCGCAGTTGTTCATCATCCATTGTGTATTCTGAAACATCAGTTCGTGTTATTTAGGTTTTGTCTGAAGTAATTAAGTAACTGACCCTGCAATGTCGAGGGATAATGATGTGATATCCTAATTACAAATATTAATTAATAAACAACGACATCACTGTTTAATATAATGGTCCAAACTGTTTTATAAGTCTAGAAAGAAAAGACAAACGTTGAAATACTGACCGATTACAGACTGTCTATATACAAGATATCTATTTTAAAGCTCACTGGAACGAATTGACAGTTTAATAACCAACTCTAAAACGAAATGTAAATAGATAAATTATGATAATATTTAATAACAGTAACAGTATGGTAAGACAGCTCGTTTCTGTATGAGATATCTTGTATGGGCCTGGAACGGGCAAACTTAAGTCTATCCAAGAATCAACTTTCTGCTCAACGATGTCGAGAAATGTATGGAGAGGCAAAACTTATGGATCACGGTAACGGTTCATCTGAGTGTATTATTGATCATATAGAACAACTGAAGTTCGCGTTTATTGTGTTGGAAGATCACCATGATTTGTCGTAAGACACGTTAAACCATTTTGTCACACTTCTTGAGAAATTTGATAAGTTGACAAAGTCACGTACCTGTATGTTTAAGACTCCAGACAAATAAATGTCCTGGCACGAATTGCTAAAGATTTGACACTAGAAGGGCGAAAAGCAATTTACACGGCTTTCGTTTTATCAAATTTTAATTCCTACCCACTTATATATTTATATTTATCAGCATCAATAATGGACGCAGGCTTAAAGCCTCTGTGTCCATATCAAATATTACATATTGCATAGTAAGTAATTCCTGTGTAATGGCTTATATCAGTTAATTAATGTACAATCATGTATAGAAACGGATATTTTTCCAATGTTCATCTAACTTTATTTAAAATTTTATTACAGAGTCCACATTGATTACTGTTTGTGGTAAACTATTCCACAAATCCACAACTCGGTAACTGAAAAAGTGCTTTCTAACATCAAGACGACATCGTTTTTTTTAAATATTTTCTTGTTATGACCTCTAGTTCTGCTTATATTGTCCATTTCAAAAACGTTCCTTGTTACCCTACTATTATATATGTTGTTTACTATCTTAAAAACGTTAATCATATCTCCTCTGGTCCTTCGGTGTTGAAGTGTCGGAAGATTTAGTTTTTCCAGCCGTTCCGGGTATGAGAGATTTTCAAATCCAGGAAGCAGTTTTGTGGCCCTTCTCTGTATGTTTTCAATAAGTTCTATATCTTTTAATTTTGACGGGCTCCATACACTGGCGGCATACTCCAGGTGGGGTCGCACTAGAGATGTAAACAGCATTTTAAACATTGACTCGTCAAGGTAAGAGAAAGATCTTCTAATTAGTCCTACTATACTGTTTGCTTTGTTAACCATTGACTGTATGTGTGCTCGGAAGCTTAAATCCTCATCTATGGTGACACCAATCTCCTTTTTTTTGCTAACTTGCTCCAGCTGAATTTTTTCTCCTCCAGATCCTTCCGTATAATAATTTCGTTTTTGGGTTGCCTTAATTGAAAGAACTTTGCATTTGCTAGGGTGGAATTTCAGTAGCCATTCGTTGGACCAATTCTGAAGATTATCTAATTCATTTTGATATCATGTTCGTTGTTTACTTGTCTATAAAACTTGATATCATCAGCAAAGAGTGGCGATCGAGATTTGGGTATTTCAGATGGATCGTTGATAGATACAACAAATAATATGGGACCCAATACGCTTCCTTGCGGGATACCACTCAGTAGTGGGTATGTTTTAGAAGATTCGCCATTGACAATTACTCGTTGGCATCTATTGTATAAAAAGTCTTGTATCCAGTTAACAACTTGAGGACTTAAACCATACCCTGACAATTTCTTCAGTAAGCGTTGATGTGGCACTTTGTCGAACGCCTTCATGAAGTCCATGTATATGACATCCAACTCCCCGCCCTTTTCTATTATCTCTGTCCATTCTTCTAGTACTGTTAGCAACTGCAGTTGAGTTGACCTTCCAGACACAAAACCAAACTGTTTGGGGCTCAGAAGATTGTATTTGTCCATGTGCTCAACAATACTATCTCTCACTGGTTTTTCCAGTGACTTAACTACCACACTTGTCAGACTTACAGGTCTGTAATTTCCTTTGATCCTTTTTTTTAAATATAGCATTCATGCTCAAAATCAAACGCCTAAAAGTTATGTTAATGTTTTATATCATGATCATGTTTAGTAGTCTGTGTTGCATTGTGTGTATATATTAATAGAATTGTTTTGTAGGTTTTTTTAATATAATGCCACACGCTTATACTTATATCTTAGTTTAGTGTCAATCAATTTTATTGCGAACAAAATACAACAGGATTGGACAAAAGTTATAACAACTTACTTACGTCCTTTCCGTAACAAATAAAAACATACAAATTAAGATAGTCACGCAATAGCCTTAGAACTTTTCATATTTTTAATTAAAGATAGGCTTAGAAAATGAGAAAAAGAAAACAAAATTGGGGTAAGGGGGTGGGGGCACCGACGAGTAATTCTGTGGATTTGGTGACTGTCATTTCCTAATCCAGTCGGCAAAGAACTGACTCTTTACTGGACACACATTGCGCTCTACTTATCTAAAATATTCAGTCACATCCCATGCCTTAGTTGTCGTTCTCCTGGATCACTCCTTGTCCTTCTGCGATGCCGGACTCTACCTGCTTTGCCGACAAGATTAAGGAACCACAGCCGTGATCTTAGTATATGGTTTTGGTAAAATATGAATATTTTACGAAGTATGTATTAAATAAACATTATAATTATATAAATAAAACAATACCCGTCGGTGTTGGGAGGGGGATGAAACCGGATGAATGGAAGGGGTGTGGGGAAGGGGTAGTATAGACATACTAGGTGTCCTGGTTATCGACGATTAAATGTTAAAACGTTTAGAACTGGAAATAAATTATTGCATATCTTAATTAACCAATACCGTCGTATATGCTTTTGTATATATGCCTGCTGTTTTGATATAATTTACATATGTTTACAGTCGGTTGTCCAAACCTTTAGCTTGTGATTATTGTTATAAATGATGTATCGACTTAAATCATCATCATCATTATTATTATGACATTCTTAACGGCTCGTCAACACATCAAAGATCATTAGGGCCATCAACCGGTAAAACACATAGTGATCCATGAGATTTTCTGGACTTGACTTCATTTTATATAAGACGAGATGTCGCATTACATGAGATATCTGTTATGATTGAACTCAAATATGGACCGACATAGCTCATCGAATAAATGATAAGAACTGTGCTTCAATGAGGTATCGAACCATGCACCGTCCCAGTCTGTCTCTGTACAAATTAAGCGGAAGTAAAATTTACTATCGCGCGAATCAATTACGTGGCATGTGATCAGTCAACACAGAAAGGTAAAAAAAGCAAAGTAAATGCTACTGTAATATTGTAACCACCTATGAGCGTTGTGAATTCGGTCTAGTTATTGTCTAGTCGGGCTCGTCACACAGATAGATTAACTTCGCAATACATTATACGAAGTAAGAAGCGCTAAATGCATTTTAATTGATAATGTTAAAAAAAGATCGCGCCCAAGCATGGTAAGGATTTGTCTCATGGCTGCTTTCGAGTTCAAGTCAAAAACGTCATTATATCACAAAGGAATTGTATAGTGTAGATACCATATTGGATGGTGATTTGTGTACCTTTGAGGGAAAATTGGTCTTCAACAGGAAAATAACAAGTCGCTTATCTCCTTCTTCCTCCTTCTCTGACTACGATGCCTTCCGTCGCTAGCAACAGAGTGACGATGACGACCAGGAAATCTTACGTGACGTCTGCATATTATGACGTCATAGCTAAGCATGTTTATTAATAGAAGACGAACCATGATTTATTCAGTACATGGAAAAACAATGGACATTTTCCGGGTTGTCTTTATACAAGAAAAGAAAGACGGAAAAAGTAAGGAAGGACAACGTCTATGTCACGTGTTTTTAACGTAGCACATTAACACGATATGATTTTGTTTTAAACGATTGGGAAAAAACGTTTCACAAGTGTTAAAACGTTTCTTTTTCGAAACAAGAAATAATTTATCAACATCATAGTTAGGTTAACTTTACGGTCATTTCACGTGTTCTTACCAATTAACATATATTCGTAATGTTTTTTTTATCTGTAAGTTCACCTACTGGCTAGGTATGGTTGCGGATAGAACTCTAAATAATTCCTTCAAATTAACTATCGTATACTTGTAATGTGGTAAATTGGGGCATATGCTCAACTTTTCTACAAATTTTACGTAAAACGAAACAATGACCAAAACAAAATAACAACCCCCCCCCTGAAAAAAAATTATAAAGATGTGGTACAAGGGAGATAACTCGCAGAGATGTGGAAGCAATGATGCTGCTTGATCACGAGACATTTGTGTACCCGCTAACAAAAACGCTTTTTGGCCTCCTTGTAGGTAAGTGCCATTCAAAGCATGTTTTGGAAAGCAATAACAGTCCGATTGTAATATTTACCTGTAGTAATAATTTCATCATTATTTTGCAAAGTTACATTATACTTGTAAAGCTTAAATATTGCGATTTGTCGGAATCAAGTGAGTTGGGAGCAGGCGATGGCCTACCCAGCGGCAGCGCTGACCGAGCGACGATGAGTATATTTTGACACTTTCCGTTGAAAAGATGTACTTTTTGTTTTTACAATTGTTGTAAGCTCATGAAAATACGTCTGTTTTAATCAAGGAGTTAAGTATAATCATTGTGTAGAAAAGAATTTAAATACGAAATCATGCAGGTGTTAAAAATAGTAACTGTGTACCCATAATACCATGCGATATCAAATATGGCTGCGCCCATGCAAGTTGTTGGCG